AGTTGGGACTAGAAAAAATTTAATTTAAAAAAAAAAAATCCCAGTTTCAAGGCACCCACACTATGCCTTCACACACAGGTCCCCTCTTCTAGCATGCAGCCAGAAGAAGCCATTTTGGTCATACCCAGGGCCTCTGGGATTCAGGACTCATATATTATCTAGTGTCTATGTCCCTGAGGTCCCCAGGCCCACCCAGAAATTATCTGCTCAAAGAAGCATCCACTCCAAAACTCTTCTCATCTTAAAGGCTGGAGTTCTCTCAGAAGTTGATAGTTGAGTTGATAGCTTTCTCCCAGTACATTGGTTGGCCTTACAAAACAAACACCCCTTCAAAGAGAAATACTATTAGTCACCCTAATGGACATGATTCTTATCAGATTACTTTCCTCAAAGACTCCAGCCAGGCAGTGCCAAGGGAGCTAGGTGGTGCCAGGAATGTTGCTGGAATGGAAGACCATGGTGACCAGCACTAAAGCCCTGGGTGTCACCATCTCTGCCCAGGGTAGAATGTCCTGCAAGGTAAGGCAAACATTGTGCCCTATATGAAAGAATGAAAACCCCAGTGTGCTCTGGGATTTTGGTGCTTTCTCCAACCTCAGCCTCAGAATCTGGGAGACCCTGCCCCCAGTGGAGGCCACTCAAAGCCCTGAACACCCCATGTTTATGTCAACAGAGCGGTTGCCAGAGAGGCAGGCTCCTGCCCGCCAGGGGGTGTCTGGTGCCCATGGCTGTTGTTTGTGTACTTTGTCTCAGTAGTGACCACAGGGGCAGCATGCCTGGGCTGGGTCTCTGGGCAACACACTGTTGGGGTCTCAGCTGTCCCTGCACAGAAAGCACCCAGTCCATCAACAAACTCCAGAGGTATCTTCTTTCACAGAGCAAGAATTTAAACTTTCCCCTGGTGAGGTTTCTATTTTCCTCCAGCCCCTCTCCTGACCTCTCTGCTCCCTTCCCAACAAGGGCAGCCCTACACCCCAATAGGACTCAACAAGAACAGCTGACCTGTCCTTCCTCTTCAGCCACCAGGAGAACCCCTGTATGTTTTTCTGAAATAGTCTTGGGAAATGGGAAAGAGATTAGCAGGCAGCAGCTTGTCCTGGGTCTAACCAGCAGCAACCAGCCACAACTGCCACCCTGCAGAAGGGGGCAACAGCCAGAGACAGACTGGAAGAGTTCCCTTTTTGGTTTCCACCCCACTCACCAGCTATGTGGTGTCTTTATGTCCATATTCCTCACACACACACACACATACACACATACACACACCACACCACACGTCAGCACCAATGCTTCCCAGACCTACTCTTCCTGCAAGAACTCCTGAGTTCTCTAGCTCTCCATCCCTCAGTCTCCTCAAGCCCCCAGCCTCGAGATGGGGAGGGGATTGGAAGCAGTAGGGACTGACTGGTGAAGGCTAAGAGCATGGCTCTGGAAGCCAAGAGCTCTGCACTCACTAGCAGTACCACCTTAAGTCAGTCAACCTCCAGGTCTCTGGTTTCTTCACCAGTAAAATGGGCATCATAATCAGACCTACTCAAACATCCTGAGGAGTAAATGAACTACAACTACCTAGAGGTGCTTAGGATAACATCAGGCCAGTAGCCAGGGTGTCTTTATATCACTTCTCCATGTTACTAAATTCCAGACAGGGAAAATTCTAAACTTGATGGCTGAGGAGGGGGTTTAAAATCCCAGCATCTCACTGACTCTTTGTGTGACCCTGAACAAAATGCCATACTGCCCAGTTTCCTAATGTGCAGTAGACAGACTGACAGGACCTTCCCCAATAGGGTTAATGTGGAGGAGTAAAGGCAGGGTGTGCCAGCTGTTGGGGTAGGAGTCAGGCTTCTGATGCCTGATCCCAGAGATTAGCTGCAGCACTCTGGCAGTGGGGAGACTGGTCTGACTTAGAAAAGAGAACCAGGGACCAACCAGGAATTCAGGTCCCTGGGAGATGCCATAAATAGCCAGAGCAGGTCATCATGCCTCCAGAGATGGTAGATGGGGGTGGGGGAGACTGGAAAGGAACAGTGGAAAAGGAAGTTGTCAGTCATCAGTCTGGGGTGGGTCCAGGGCACTTTGCCAAAGGTCAAAGGAAAAAATTGTCTAGGGTCATGGTAAGAGAGAGGGGTCCCCTCTTCTGGGCAGAGCAGCCTGGGACCATCTCTATACCATCTCCCAGTGTCACTCAGATCTCTGGGAAGAGTCAAGAAACTCTGAGTATGGTTCATTTGTACCCTGTGATCTTTGCCTGCCTTCCCTGCTCCTTCACTTTCATCTGTGAGCATCCTGGAGTAGAGAGCAATAGCTCAGCCTATGTCACAGGAGGAAAACTCAAAACTCATCACTACAAGAGGCTCCTGGTCAATCCGCCCAGAGATGTAAAGTGATTTGGCAGAGATCACGCAGTGAATCTGAGCCTGAGATGTGACTATGAACATAAGTTTCTCCCTCCCCCAATCCAGGGTTATATGTGAGAGCCAAAATATAAGAACTTGTCCTGAGGAAAGGCAGCCTTTCCCCTGGAGGAAGAGTGAACTGATTGAATCCATCCTCCTGGAAACATCTAGCTCTTCCAAGAGCATCATTGTAGCTGGGAAGTGGGAGAAGGGCTTAGGTTTATAATGCTTTAGAAGTGCTGAATCAGAGGTATTTGGGTGCAGCCATGTAAACAAGACTGGACTTAGACTCAGAAGAACTACACTCAAATCCTTGTTGATCCTGTACAAATCATTCTGACTTTCTAAGCCTCAGGTCTGTAACTTGCAAAATGAAGCCAATAATTCACACCCGGGTGAGGCTGGTGTGGGAACTAAGTGAGATGATGAGACAGGCTTGAGTGCCTGAGGAATGCCCCAAATGTTTAAAAACTTCGAGCCCTGCTTATTCATCTCTGTGTTCTTGGTATTTACTACAGCACCTGGCAAATAGGAGCCCTCTGTAAATGTTGATTAAATAAAAGAATGAAGTAAACTCTTTGCATTTAAATGCTGTATGTGTGTGTCATAATAAACATTCTTTGCTATTTATCAGCTATTACTGCTTTTTCATTGTGGACACAGACACTATTACCTCAACCCTGTACTGGAAAATGTTTGAAAAAATAATGTGAGGACAAGAATGCTTTCAGTAATAAATCTAACAGGTAGGGTGACCAAATGATTTATTGTCTAACTGGAACACGTTCGAGTGTGTAATTATGCCCAAACAACAGGGAGAGACCAGGACCATCCTGGACAAACCAAAAAGCTGGGCATACTAACCATGAGTTGTGCTGCCCACAACTCTCTGGAGGAGAGAGCCCTAAATATCCAGACCCTCCTGATTCCTTCTCTCTAGTCAGTCCCTGAGAAGGAAACTCTACTAGCCAACCCCCCAGCTGGAGTTGTTTTCAGATCAGTTCCCTGGTGTTCTTAAGTTCCTCATTTTCAGCCTGCAGGTGACTCTGACCCCTCTCTTCTTGTTCCCTGAGAATATCCTAGAGTGTTTGCACTGCCCCAAATGTGAAGAAGTGTGGCCCCTGCTAAGCTCTGCTCATGTGGGCGATCCTCTGCTGCTATTCTAGCTCAGAGGCTGCTCTCAACACGCTTCTGACCAGTTGCCCTGTGTCTCCTCCTTCCTACCTTTGGTTCAAGCTCGCCCAGCAACCAGGGTGATTCTGTAGAACTATGTGTCTCTGCAAAGACAATGGCTTCCCATCTCCAGCAGAGAAAAAACCAAGGTCCTCAGAAGAGATAAAGAGCCTCTTTTGCTCATATTATCTCTCTGGCCTCCTCTCCTAGGCCTCTCTAGTCACATACAGGTGTCAAACACACCAAGAATGCACCCATTGCTGGGCCTTTGCACCTGCTGTTCCCCCTCCACTGAACATATATCTATACATTTGATTAATTCTCTTTTCTCCTTCAGGTCTTTTCTCAATTGTCTCCTTTTCAAAATCCTTCCCTAGCCCCCTATAAAAAAGTAATCTCACCCCTTGTCACTCTCTGTTCCCCTTCCCTGACTTTTCTCCTTAGCACTTACCAACCCTAAATAGACTATCTATTTTACTTATTTATCATCCAACTCCTTCCAGCTTCATGAAGCTAGGGACTTTCATTTGCTTTGTTCTTTGCAACCGTTTCAGTACCTGAAACAGCACCTGGCATAGAGTAGGTGCTTAAAAAATATCTATTAAATGAGTAAGATGACTGGAAGGGAACACAGCATGGAGGCCAAGTGTTTGTCCTCTGAAATAAAATGGTCTGCGTTTTAATCCTGCCTTATGTCACTTACAAGCTATATGACCTTAGGCAAGGCCCTTAACCCTTCTCTGAGCCTCAGTTTCATTGTGTATAACATTGAGATAGCACACATTGCCTCCTAGGGCAATGGAGAGCTTTAAATCTGCTTTCATGTAAACCACTAAACTCACTGCCTGGTCCATTTCAAAAACTCGAAATTCAGTGAATGGCAGCTCCTGTCACTATAGGAGGCTCTGGTCAAACTGTCATTGAATAATGGGCTTACCACAAGCAAATCAGCATCTGCTCTGAATCACAACTCACATTCTCTCCTTCCAAATCCTTGGTTTTCCCTGGACCCTTCTTTCCTGAATCCACTTTCCCCAAATGGAAATGGATTTCTTTGCAACCACCCCTTTCAACACAGGCCTAGTCCTGCTTAAAACTCTGAGATGGCTTCTCCCTTAAATCACAGGATGGCTACCCTAAACAGACTACAGACATTGTGCCCCTTCCACAATGTCCCCAGTAAGAGCTGAGAAAGTTGGTTCGGAAACCAGGGAAGAACACAGCTTGAGAGTGGAGGGAGAGGCAAGGGAGGAGCTGATCCAGCCCTTCCCACCTGCCAGCTTCCTGTCTTTGCCTGCTGATAAATAGGGGACACTCATGGCCAGAGTTTCCATTCCCCCATTCTGGCACCCACTGTCACTCAATTAAAAAAAGATAGGAGAGAGTCTGGGGGAGGGGCAGAAGGCTCTGACTTATAAAGCTTGGGGCTGAGGGGGTGCGAGCTGAAGCCTGGCCTGCCCATCCTCTTTCCGTCATCCCCAGCCAGACTTAGCCGCTGACAGCTGCTTGGGATTCTGCCGCCAGTCCCTGGCCAGACCTTCACCCTCTCCTCTCTTTCAGTGACTCCTGAGCCACAGCCCCACCATGGCCCAGAAAGAAGAGGCTGCTGCTGCTGCTGCTGCTGAGCTGGCCTCCCAGAATGGGGAGGATCTGGAGAACTTGGAAGACCCAGAGAAGTTGAAGGAGCTCATTGAGCTGCCGCCCTTTGAGATCGTCACTGGGTGAGCCTCACATGTGGGCTAGGCCTCCTCCCTAGGAGAGCAAGGGCTTGGGCAGGCTATAGTAGGTGTAAGGGTCAGCCACAGCCTTGTGGCAATGTGTGCCCAGCAAGGGTATTCAATGGACACAGAAGCAGAGCTCTGTTGGTTTCTTAGTGTGACACCTTGGGCTTTCTAATTAGGAGGAGGTAGGAGGAGCTCCTTGGAGGCAAAGGCCCAAATGACAATACCACCCCATATGTCTCCTGGTATTGGGTAGAAGTTTAGTCCCAAGGAGTTTGGTGAGACTGACATGTTTAAAGATGGCCTCAGTCAAAGCCTCCCTCACTTCAGCTTCTCTCTGCTGTGCTTCTGAGTGGGTCTCTCTTGTGTGTGTATGTCTCTAGTGCTTTCTTCAGGGCTTCTCTCTGCAACGGAAAATCCCAAGACAGGGAAGACAGATCTATCCTTCGCTAAGGCAGAATAGGCAGCTTCTATTTTACTGAATCTCTTATGAGTCCCCCCCAGGGAAACAGTCACAGCACAGATAACACAGGCCAAGGTCTTAGGGACAGAGGAGCATTACCATAAATTTAGCTACAGCCTGGAGGAACTGGGGCAAAGGAAGGGATGTAGAAGCTCTAGAGAGGGAGTCATGTACAGGGTTCCTCTGTCATGTCCAGATTACGCCATCTGTGTTAAGAAAACCAAGTTAGTCTTCCTTCTCTCCCCTCTCTTTTCCTGTAGAGGAAGACCCTGTTAAACACCAAAGCAGAGAACAAGAAGGAAATATGAAGGGCTACATTTCCTCCCTGAGCCCAAGGTTTCCTTCCTGAGGGTCTCCAGCAATGTGCACAGGCAGAGTGGGTACCATACTAACAGAAATTTCAGGAAGAATGAAGGCAAGATGCTCTCAACAAGGAGAAGCAGCCCTGGGTGGCAATTTGGACTTGCTGTTTTATGCTTGGCAAATGATTTCCCAGGCTTGGCCTTTGTTGTACCATTTCTAACATGAGAAAGCTATACTAGTTGACTCCTAAGGTCCCTTCCTGCTCAGATATTTTCTGATTTCTAAGAGAAATAGAAATTTCCAAAGGAAAATACAGCCTAGCTCCTGAGGCATGAGTAGGTCCTGAACTTGTACTTGCCCGTGCTTACTCAGCTGATCTCATCCTCATCCTAGGATTAAGTGAGCAGCTGGGTACAAACTAATACAGACACAAGGGAAGCCTATAGCAACCAGACTGGGAGTGCCCTCAATTCCAGTGGCTGCCTTTTTCTAACACCTGAGCATTCTGGGCCATGCTATCCTTGGTCATACACACGTGTGGGCACATGCTCCATTTCATGTAGCTTTGTAATCTCCCAAGCACAGGGGCAGGAGGGATCAAGAACAGAATTAGACTGTTCTTTTTGTGTGAACATGGGCAGTGGGCCCTGAAGGGCTAGGGGCCTCTGGCATAGCTGACACTTCTCCACGGCTTTATAATCACCACTTACTTTCAAGTGTATGAACTCAGCACAATATCAGGAGAAGAAGATTAATTATTGCCATCTTACAGAAGGGACACTGAGACTCCGGAAGACTGAGTGATATGTCCAAGAACACAGAACCAGGAAGTGACAGGTCTTTGGACTCCTTCCTAGCCAAGTGTCCTGTCCACTGTTCTCCATTCATTCTGGGTGCCAGGTTTCCCAAACAAAGCTCCATATCATCTCCATATACAAGGTGGTGAGGGCCAGGAACTTACAATGATTCAAGGCTCAGACAAAGGGGCACAGAGCACAGTTCAGGTGGGAGGTGGAGCCCTCAGTGTTTCTTGTTCTAGAGAACAGCTGGGGAGAGTTCTCTCTGGGGCCCCTCTGAGTAAACAGATGCTTAAAATAGCCCAGAGGTGTGTCTGTTTCTGTGAAGGGCCAGAGGGAGGAGACAGCTTTCCTCTCCTCTCTCCACATGCTCTGGAATCCAAGGGATCAGCAAAGCAGATCCTTTGCTAGCCTAGACTCCTGCAGAGAATGGATCCAAACACTCCTCATACTTAGGCAAAAGCTAGCAGAAGAGCAGGTGGCTTTCAGAGAACTGTATGAAGTGAGAAGGGAGTACCTAGTAGGAATAAGGAGAGAGATGCCTTGCTTGTAGTGGTTCTGGTTGAATAGGGCAACAGATGGAAAGCAGACCTAAGTGCGTGAACAAAAGTAACATGGTGGAAAGTGCTGAAAAAAAGCCAGCTCCTGTTTGGCTTGGGAGTCATTGTGTGCATCTTTACCCTACTCTTCATCCAGTAGCTTCACATTCCTGGCTTGAAATATCCATAATGGAAGGACTTACTTTATAAGAATCGGCAAATGTTAGGAATCAGGGAATTTTTTTTTCTTTCTTTCTTTCTTTCTTTCTTTCTTTCTTTCTTTCTTTCTTTCTTTCTTTCTTTCAGAGAGCTGGGTGTTAAACACTTAACAGCATTGCTGGAAGAGAGAAACCTCTGGAAGTGAGAGGAAGAGTAAAGAAGGGATGAGATTTGGTAATGCTTAGTTAGGATGGAGCTCTGAAGGATATCGCTAAGGCCTAGAGAAGGCACCATTCATCAATATTCACTTTAATTTATTGAATGTCTACCGTTGTCCAAAATCTGGGAGTTGGAGACTGTTTTTTCAGATAAGGAAACTAAACCTCAGAGGGATAAGTAGTTTGCCCAAGGTTAGTAGGAACTGTAAAGCATGTGTCTGACTCCACAGCACCACAAAAAAATCATAAAGAAGATTTTTGTACTCACAAATATTTACTGAACAGAAATTGTTCACTACTGTTTCCCCCATCAGTATACTTACCCTCCACAAGCAAGGATAAGGAATTTGTCTTTTTTAGTGCTTTATCCCTAGCATCTAGCTCCCAATAGGTAATCAATAAATATTTGTGGAATAGCGGGGCACCAGGGGCTCACACCTATAACCCTAGGTATTCAGACAGCAGAGATCAGGAAGATCTAGGTTTGAAGTCAGCCCCCAGTAAATAGTTTGAAAGACTCTATCTCAAACCCCACAAAAATGATTTGGTGGAGTGGCTAAAGTGGTAAAGCACCTGCCTAACAAGTGTGAGGCCCTGAATTCAAACCCCAGTACTGCCAAAAAAAAATGTGGAATAAATGAACTAATGAATGAGCTCTCATTGTGTGTTAGGCTCTCTGCCAGACTTTGTGATGGGAATGAACTGGGGACAGAGGTCTTTGTGGAGACAAGATCAAGATATATGGAGGCCTGGCAGTACTGGACATGATGAGAATTCTAGTGAGTGCCTGCCTTTGTCTTCAGCAAGCTTAGGGGAGCTCTGGAGCAGGGAAGTTGGGTTGAATCCCCATCTGATCATTTCTCCATCCGAGTAAGGAACAACTGTGACCCTGCCTGTCAGCACCCCAGTGTGCGTTTCTCTTTGTCTCTTATGATGTCAGGTATGTTTCTGCAGAAAGCAGAACCTGCCCTCAAAGGGATTATAATGGACCAAAGATAAATGGCATATAAAATGAGTCTTCTTTCAACCACTTCTTTAGCTACCAGGAGTTTAATCTGGTGAAGTGAGGGACACAGAGAGAAGAGGCATAGGAAAAGGGAGGCAAGGGGTGAGGAGCCTTCAACATCACTCTTACACTGGCCTCAAGAGCATGCTGGGAGAGGCCATTAAGAACAGAAGATAGCTCTACTGGCCCCATGAAGGGCTGGTGGGAGGTCAAAGCTGTGTGGATAGATAGTGTCTCAGCTGGCTCCTGGCTTGCCTTCGGCAGAACCCCATCAAGTCCTGCAAGTCTGGAGCTCCTGCCTCAGCTCTAGTACACTTCTGCTTCTGTTCTACACACCTTTCCTTGACTATGCCCACTCCTTGGTATCCCCTTTGAAAGTGGTCTGAAAAGAAGGTAGCCAAATGAGACCAGAAACTCTACCTCTTTCAAATACGTCATTGACAGGTCTAGTGAGGGGAAGTTGAAATAAGTCAATATTCAGTCGCTTGTGAATACATTTTCTGCTCTATAGGTTATTTTGGAGCAAATGTTTAATCTTAGACCAGCTTCTACTGATCTCCAGGTTGCTCCCTTTCACTGTGTATTTATGTTTAGGAAATGTAAATTTTTAAATGCAAACCTGAGAAAACATGTACTACATTTATTCACATCTCCTCTCTCTCATCAAGCAGACCATCTTTTCAATTTTTGCTAGATACTAGGATTCTGGTTTTCTCTATTAGTTGTGTAAAATGTCCAATAGCCTCGTAGTCTAAATAGAGGGAGGTATAAATGGCCTTGTCTGCAGAAAATATGAGAAAGTGATGCCTACAAGAGGTGCTACTTGAGGTGGTAGTAGAGGAGGGACAGGAACCATGCTGCTGGTTCTGAAGAAGTGACTGGATGCAGAGGGAGGAAATTTACTGCCAGCATCTTTCTCCTGTTCACCACTCCAATATACATGCACTCACACACACTCCTTTAGCACTGGGTGTCTCTGGAGCTAAGAATAATGGGTTGTAAGTATGTATAATACTTAGGCATACCATGCTACTGGAAAAAAATGTTTGTGATTAAGAAGTTAGGTGTCTCTGTTTGCTTCCTTCCACTATTGGAAGTGTTGACTTTTCTTCTAATTCCATAAAATTGCCTGAGGCGGTCATGTTTCCAGCTCTTTGTGGAAATTTCAGACCTGTACCTTTCTGTTCTCCTGGCTTACCTCCAGTACCTGACTGTTATAGTCTGTGGGAGACCCAAAGAATCTCATTTGACCTTTATGCTCCTTCTAGAAGACCAAGAAACCCAATGAGGAGCCAAGCAAGCTCAGTATCTGGGCAAGCCTAAGGGAAAGCCTGGGAGCCAAACCTTCCCTGTCTTTCCTTTGCCCCTTGAAAGCATTTCTGAGGAGTCTACTCCAGAGTCCTTGCTGATAGATAGAACAGGCCCTGGGGCTGCTGGCCAGAGGGGTCAGAAATGGATATTTATAGAGGTGACCTTTCTTTCTCTCCCATGGTTTCAGGTTTCTCTGGGTGTGCCAAGGGAATAGGAGGAGGGGGAAATTTCAGAGTTTAGGAGGGGCTGCAAGAAGGCTGCTTTTCACAACCATCCAGTCAAGTTGCAAGTATGTGCGGGGCCAAATTGTTGCTTTTTGCTAGGCTATACTAGGCAAAATTGGAGCAATGCTTTGGGGGATTTTCCAGAAATAAACCTTAGGCAGCTACTGCTGAAGCAAGCCCTCAAGCCAACCATGAAACTACAAATACTTATAAGAGTTCCAGTGGAGAATGTATTATTCAAGGGGCTCTAGATTAGACTGGGGTACAGGGGTTGGTCTGTCAAAAGACCTTGAAGAACAAAGAAGGGTTTGGGCAAAAGAGATAAGCTCTGTGTGGCAAAAAGCCACTTCAGGTAGTAAAGGGACCCATGAAAGGCAGTAGAGTTTGAGAGTGGTCTGGTGGGGTGAATGTAAATAGGAAGAGCTCCGTGTAGGTGAATTTCCCTCAGGGACTGAAAGATGAAAGGGGAGACATTAGGTGATATGCTCTGCTAAAATGTTAAGTAAATAATAAACACCTCCAACCAGAGACAGAGGGGCTTAGAGAGCTAAATATAGTACCTGAAGGAATCCTGGGGCTGGGTCCTCAAACACATCATCTCCACAGTGGAAATTTAACTTGACAGCAAGAGACATGGAAACTTGGACGGAGAAAATTTGGTGACTGGTCAAGGGGTAGGGAATCCTGCAGGGAAACAACTCAAGTTTATTCAGCTTTTTGGCATAGGTGCCTTATTCCTTAAGCAACCAAAGCCTTGGGACACCAGGGATTCCCCTATAGCACAGGGAGTCTAGTGATCTTTCTGGGGAAAAAGAAGGGGTGGAGACAGGTAATGTAAGTTAGTGCTGCCACAGAGCATCTTTTAGGGCAGATTAGATTACACTTTTTTCTATGGTGCTGAGATGGAACCCAGGGTCTTACACTCGCCAGGCAAGCATTCTACCACTGAGCCACATCTTCAACCTGAGATTACAGTTGTTAAAAAAGGAAAACATCTAGCCTCTCTACCTGATACTCATCTCCTCCTCTCCTTCTTACATTTCAATCTCTCCTCATTTTCCTTGGCCTTCAAACCTGCATAGGTCTTTCCTATTTTGACACACACATTCAAGAAAAATAAAAATAATATTCAACTATGATGCCCTCTCTAGTCCTTTTCCTTTTTTTCTCTCCTTCTTATTACTAACAAACTTTGAAAGGCAGGGGGAAGGGTCCTAGCCTTTTCCTTCCCCAATGAAGCCACTGGACATCTACCCTATTCATCACCAAGTCTGCTGTCCTAAGACACCTGGTGGCCCTTTTAAGTCTCAGGCTCTTGGTCCAGCCATACTACCTCAGCCTAGTGCAACCAGTGATCTTCCATGGACATCACCTGTATTATTCTCTTCTCCAACTCAAGAACTGGGTACCATACCTTACTGCCTTTTGAATCAAGGTGCAATTTTCAAGACTTTTATAACATATCCTCTACTCTACCTATCCGCTTACAGCAATCTTCTAACATTATCAGTTGTTTCATTCACATCTTCTCAGTCCAGCTGTTAGATTATAAGTATCTAGAGGGCAGAGGCCAAGTCTTTCAAGATTCTGAAATTACTTAATACCATATGCAAGCTTCATTATCTCAAGGGAACTTTGGGTACTCTTGTCTCAGGTAAATACTTTTGGACGTTGACCATATGATAACCCTTTCACCTGAAGGAAAAGACAGACTTGAAAAACAGCCAATAGGAGAGCTTGAGCCATTCTGTGCCCCCAAATGCAATTTATATGAGCTAAAAGGAGAAATGGAAGCATGAAATGCTCTGAAAAATCTTTGTCTTGCTCTGTCTCGAGAAATTTAACATACTTGCTACTTTGTAAAATGGCTTTTTAAACACTGTTTCTCTAATCTGGACATTTATTAGTATCATCTAGCTGTTTTCCTTTGCTTTTTTTAAATACTGATGCCTGGGACCTACCCCCAGGCATTCTGAATTAGTTTGATGTGGGGCTCAAGCATTGACATTTTTAGAGTCCCCTGGGTGACTCTAAGGCATAGCCTTGTTAAAGGTTCACTGATTTAGAAACATGGGAACTGGGCACGGTGGTGCACATCTGCAATCCCAGCATTTTAGGAGGCTGAGGCAGGAGACTCACAAGTTTGGTGCTAGTCTGGCCAAAGAGGCCAGGTATGATGGCCCTGTGCCTACAATCCCAGTTACTCTGGAGGCACAGATTGGGAAAATTGCAGTCCAACAACAGTCAAGCTAAAAAGTTAGTGAGACCCCCATCTCAACAAACAAGCTGGTCAGGGTGGTATACATTTATAATCCAGCTATGAGGGAGTTATAGGTGGAAGGACCATGGTTCTAGAATGGCCTCAGCAAAAAGCATGAGACCCTACCTGAAAAATAGCTAAAGCAAGAAGGGCTGAGGGTAGAATGCTTGCCTTGCAAGTATGAGGTCCTGAGTTCAAACCCCTGTACTGCCAAAAAAAAAAAAAAGTGCGTGTGTGTGTGTGTGTGTGTTTTAGGAATGAAGATGGAAATGGTGTTAAAGAGCCTTCCTACTAGTGACCAGAATGCAAACCCCAATCCAAAGTCTTCTCCAGATAAATGCTTTGGGATTCTTTCATGCTGTTTTTGTCACTACCGTTTGCATAAAAGGCCTATTTTTAGTAAGAGTGAAGTGTCTTGGAGATCCACCTACTCGAGGCTGGTCCTAGAAACAAAAGCTCAGCATTCACTTTTTCCCTGACTCTTTGTGTTCCTGGCCTATAGGGAGCGGCTGCCTGTCAACTTCTTTAAGTTTCAGTTCCGGAATGTAGAATACAGTTCTGGGAGGAACAAGACCTTCCTCTGCTATGTAGTTGAAGCGCAGGACAAGGGAGGTCAAGTGCAGGCATCCCGGGGATACCTAGAAGATGAGCATGCCGGTGCCCACGCAGAGGAAGCCTTCTTCAACACTATCCTGCCAGCCTTTGACCCGGCCTTGCGGTACAGTGTCACCTGGTATGTGTCCTCCAGTCCCTGTGCAGCTTGTGCTGACCGAATTATCAAAACCCTTAGCAAGACCAAGAACCTGCGCCTGCTCATTCTGGTGGGGCGCCTCTTCATGTGGGAGGAACCAGAGATCCAGGCAGCTCTGAAGAAGATGAAGGAGGCTGGCTGCAAACTGCGCATCATGAAGCCCCAGGACTTCGAGTACATCTGGCAGAACTTCGTGGAGCAAGAAGAGGGTGAATCCAAGGCCTTTGAGCCCTGGGAGGACATTCAGGAGAACTTCCTGTACTACGAGGAGAAGTTGGCAGACATCCTGAAGTAGACAATGGGGCCCAGCCTCATGTGAGTTTTCCTGGTGTCAGTGCCTTCCTGCACTGGTACAAGGCTTTCACTTCAGGTAGAATAAGTGCATAACACGATCGCCTTTGGAGGGACTGCATTCCTCTGCTTTGGGCTGGTTATAGAAACACTTACGCTGTCTCATGTTCTCTTTCTTCTACATCCCTGTGCCTAAATCCTTTTGCCTCCTACCCTTTGGTTTCAAATCAGCTTTTCCAAGGTTGACAGGGATTCTCATGCTTTGAGACATATGACCTTTCATAAGACTTAGATGGTACAAGGACCTGTTACTGAAGAATAGCAGAGAGGACATTTAAATCCCCTAAGCACACACCATTGTACAGGTGTCCAGACTTATTCTGCATACCTTCTAGAATCTCTACTTCCAAACCCACTAGAAATCTTACCTCCTTTTCTCTCTAATGTAGCTTTTTCATCCTTTAGGGACAGTTCTTTCATTTTTGGTCACTAAAATTCCCAAGGGAATTTGTATTCATCTTTCAGTTTTGGTCAGATCTGCTTTCAAGTTTTCAAACAAACTGTTATGCTTTGAGAGAGGTCAGTAGTGTGAATTTAAATGCAAGAACATTTTTCTTATTAAGAAAGAACTCAGCAGAATCACGGAAAATGCTGAAGAATCAGGGTAATACAGCAACAAGCTAATTTATGCAGGACTGTTTAAAGAGTTAAAGAGGTGTTTGTAAATTAGGCAGCAGCTCAGAAGTAGCCTCCTACAGATATCAAGAGGTGATAAGAGAACTGGAAATAAAGATTAGCTATTTAAGCAAATAATTAGGACACAATTAAGGCCAATTTGGCCTCTTGCTGAGGGTAAATTAGACTCTTACACAAACAGGCCAATTATCCTCAGGAAAGAGGGTAAAAGATCCTTCACTATCTTTCTTTGAATTTGGTCTGATCTAGTTTGTTCTCAAAGAAATACTATGACTGAACTGAACCCTGTTACAAGGCCAGAGTTACTGATCAAAATCTCCCAGTGATAGAGAAGGCGCTTCACTACCTGTATCACTTTAATCCTGGAACAACTCACACATTAATAAAACATGAAAGCAACAGGCTTCCATGAAGATCGTTCAATTTATTTTTGGTGTTTCTCACTCCTAATATCCTTAAGAGAAGATGTTGCTTCATAGACACGCTCAGGAAATATCAGTGTTCCGGAGCTCCATGTTGGCAGGTGTTTTCTATTAGACGTGCACACAGGGTGCCTGGACATTCTCAGACTGAGCATTTGACAGTCCATGAAGACATGATTTTTCAGCAATTTTTTTTTCTGAGAAAAGGAAGGCCCAGTCATTGAATTCAGAGTCTGTGCAGGGTAATACCATGCTCACATAAAATAAGACAGTACTCTGGGTCGTGAGGAAGAGCAGTATAGACAGATTACCAAGGATGACCTCTGAAAATACAAAGTTTAACTTTTAAAATTCCTTAAAAATTCTGTGAGTGTAGATACTATCACTATAATTACATACCCAACATAGATTCTACAGAATGTAACTGGTAGCTTAATTTTAATCTCACTGTACTTTTTTCTTTTATAAGAAAAAAGTTTTATATTTTTATAAATATCTTTTATAAGCACTTTTTTTTCTAAATAGCTTTAGAGATATAATTTCCTGGTTTAAAGTGTGCAATTCAATAGTCTTTACTATTTTTGCAGTTGTACAGCTATTTCCATAATATCTGATCTAGTTTTTTTATTCTCAAAGCATTTTTATTAGCATTGTTCATTGTGACATTTCTGAATATGCTTACATTGTACATTGCTTAGGTTCCTCCCCACAATCTCTCCCTCTCATCCCCTCTCCCAACTAAAACAATTGCAAAAAGGTTTCATTATTCTATTTCATATATGTAGGCACTTCTTCAGCTACCTAAATAGCAAGTCTTCAGTGACTTTTTTTTTTTCTAAACTTTTCAGGTTTTTTTCCATTAAAATTAAGCTTCCAAGGAGGATTCCAAAAATTATTTTGAGTCTTCTTCATTCCCATCTTCTCTGTGGGAAAATAGGAAATGTTTCTCCCCTTTTCTGTTTCTCCTCACTTTATCCTCTTTTACTAAAATAATTCCTTGCTAAAATTCTACTCTGAATTTTTTTTTTATTTTGAGTAATTAAGGATTGTATCTGATACTCATCTAAGTAAAGGAAATAAACCAGGATGAGAAAAAAGTCCATTTCTAAGTCAGATTATTTTTTAAATAGAATAATACTAGATATTTCCCTTATTATAAGTCTGCTTTAGTGTACACCTGCAACTGTATTATCTGAGCCTATTAACATGCTTCTCTGTCCTTTGAATTGCTCATATTTCTAAAGGGAAAGGTCAAAATATACCAAGTTTAAAAAAAAGTGGCATGAAATCAGTTGTAATTTAAATACCCAAAAGAACCTACTCAATTAAAATAATCCCAAGAAATGAGCATTTGTTAAGTAACATATGCCTCTCACCATGTTTTTTTTTTTTAAAGTTACAGAATAATGTTTAACCATATATTTAACTCAAGACAACAGAGTTAAAACAGATCTCTTCTGGGGCTTTCTCTGTGTGAACACCACCAAAACATAAATGAAAGAAACAACCCTAACCTTGGGTCAGCCAGGAACTACAGGACACTAGAGAAATCCAGGGATTTGTTGGAAAAAGCACACAGGAACCTTTGCTCAGAAATTCCTAACTGTTAGGTGACAGTTAACATGCTTTCTCTTTTTTCATGAAGGTCTCTGCCTGCTGCCACCAAGAGAAGCAGTGACATGTATGCCACTTGGGACATGCCTATCTTCCTAATACTACTTGGAGCTGGACAACATTCAACATCAACCAATCCTACTAGGCAAGGCCCTCAGAAGACTCAAAACACACTTCCCATTGCTGTAATTCATTTAGGTTATGTCTGTTTAACACTGCTCTTGGAAAGAGGAAACTGATCTCCACAAGGAGAGAAAAGCAACCATGAATAGGCACCAAGCATCTGGGGACTGAAAGTCTTAATGACCTTCAGTTGCTTAAAGTAAATGTCCTCAGATCCAAGGTACAGAGCTTTGAAATATGTGCCATAAATGTATTTTATGTTAAGTTGGGCTGTTGTTGCTTTTTTTTTTAAAAAAAGAAAGAAAAACAGCAACATTAATAAAAAAAATAGTGTGGCTTTTCTGTGGCCTGGTTTCTTAAGCAGCTTGGACATCAGGAAGTGGAGATGGTCAAGGCTAAGAATCAAGCCCTGATATTACAGGAGGGAAGATTAAAACAGGACTTGACTAGACAACATAACAATTATCTCTCCCATACAGACTTCCCGAGATCATCTTTTACCTTAAAATAGTTTCTTTTGAAAGGTTGGGATGTAGCTCAGTGGTGCAGCACTTGCCTAGAGTATACAAGGCCCTGGGTTCAGTTCTCAGCATTGAGAAATATTCATGTGTAATCTTCTGGATTACACATAAATGAAGGCTTTTCCCATTCTCTGAAGATATGACAGAAGACAGAACAGAAAGCACAGGAAATGTTGTAAGGTAGCACATTTCAATTGCCAAGTAATAAACAATTACCTTCTCAATTAAAGAGAAGAAAATGAAAAATAAGACTCTAATGTTCATATATACAGTAATGGCAGAACGATGTAGTCTCATTTCTTAATGTCTGTTTCAGTCCTATGTAGAAGTAAAATTCTACATATGAGGTTTGGGGTGTAGCTCAGTGGTAGAGTGCCTTGCATGCATGAATCACTGGATTCTATACCCAGCACTGCCAAGAAACAAACAGCAATAAAAAAAAAAAAAATTCTACAAATGAATTTCTGGGTCTTAGCCAAATTTTAACTGGGTTCCCAGTTACGAATGTGTTCATTCTGATTGTCAGGCCACGCCTCCTTACCCCAGGCCCCAACTGTGATAAGTCATTGGAATTTGACCCCAAGACTACCTGCAACTGACAAAAAGCACTTTGTCACATCCCTGCTGAGTCCCAGCATTCCACTTACAACTAGTTCTTGAGATGAGGCTGTTAAAAGAATAAAGGCTCCTGTTCCATGGCGGGTGGGGGGGACAACGCACAGGAAACCAATGTTTTGACCCAAGTTTTAAGATTTATTTGTATAGGGACTGAATGTAGCTGGGTGAAAGAGCATTTGCCCACCACATACAAGGCCCTGGGCCCAATTCCCAGCACAGCAAAAAAATATTTATTGCACAGAGTTAAACAAAATACTTAACTTACTGTTTATCACCTGACCCTCATTTCTAATTTTGTATATTTGATTATTCTCTTCTCCCTTTTTTCCCTTCAATTTTATTTCACATAGACAGAAGCAAAGCTTCAAGAAAAGCCTTAGTCAACACTTTGCTAATGAACTTGCCTCTGCTCTACTCTCAAACCAATGCAGAATTTCTCTGCTCCACACAGAGATACAAAAGTTATATGCCTTTTGAAAATACTGCCTGCTCTCAGACTAAAATGTGGTAAGAACACAAGATTGCTCTTTTACACCAGGGAAAGCAGTGTCCTGTGACAGACCCAACATTGACCTAGGGAAAGAAATCAGTAGCAAGTCCTGCTGTTTTAACTTTCAGCATCACTGCAAGGGGAGAAAAAGAAAATGCCTACTTTCCCCAATAGCTGTAATACCCAGCCACTGGCTAAATCCACGAACTTTATTTTTGTCTCTTAGCTTCAGGAGAAAAGGGGGCTAATATTTACTGCAGTGTTCTTGAGATCCAAGTTAGCTGCAAGGCAAAATCTAGGGAGGTTAAAAGCACAAACCTGAACTGAGTGAGGTAGTTCACACCTATAATCTAGTTACTTAGGAGACAGAAATCATGATCCCGTTTCAAAGCCAACTCAGGTAAATAGTTTGCAAGGCCCTATTCTAGAAAAAAAACTATCACAAAAAAGGGCTGCTGGAGTAGCTCAGGCAGTAAGAGCGCCTGCCTAGCAAGTGTGAGGCCCTGAGTTCAAATCACAGCGCCACCAGAAAAAAAAAAACTTAAGCGTGTAACCTATCTTGCCATCAAAATAAAAAGTGGCCATTATACTTTTAAGATTCATATGGACTTGCTGAGTATCAGTGATTTACTGAGTTACTACTCTGTGATAAACCTAATGCCAGGCATTTAATATGTATTATATGTGTAATTTGTTTCATGATTAAAGTTTTATTCAATCACAGAAACTGCAGTGGACAGAAGAGAGTTTACTATGAGATTCTAAACCCTGCTTCTGCTTTTCCAACTATGGTGATCTATATTTCTTGTCCATTCTATTTCTTACCTTGCTACTCTTTCCAATGGAAAAGTTTTAAATTCTATCACAAGGTTTATCCAATCCAAAGTAATGCAGACATAAGCACAGAACCTCATTAAACTGCAAGAAAAATATTTATTTTTCCTCCTTTGTCACCACAAATTCCTTGATAACAATGTAGGCCTCAATTCTGTAATAAAAACAAAAACAAAACCCCAACTTCTCTCTTAGGATAAATCCAATGATATAAGAATAATACCAAGTTAAGTGCACAAAGGACAAAAGATGCCAAAGTAACTCCAACCTTCCCCCTTCCTGAAATTTTTCTTAAAGAGCAGAGAAATAATCAATGCTGCCAGCTAGTGGCCAAACAAATTAGCCAGCATACTGGAGCCAACAGATCACAGAGCTACCTACTAAGTTTCCTGGCTCAGTATAGGCCACTACTCCTGACCTTCCCACACAAAAAACCACCCAGTAACATATTCCAAGCAATCCTTCCTCCAGAGTCCCACGAGTACTGGAATACAGAAACCCAAGTATTGCATATGACACAGATGCTTTCTCATGAAAATTTTCCTCTGCCTGTTTTAAGGTCAGTTTCTTATTCCTATGACCAAGTAGGGATGATGAAGAACATGGAAACATCCACAATGTTCGCCTGTTCAGAGTGTGTACACTGTAATTTTGATGTCTGTTGCCTCAAATACCTCTTCAATCATTGCAGACACATTTTCCCATTGTAGACGATCAAGACCACATCCAATCCTAGAAAAAGACAAAACATCTCCATTGGTTGTGATAGTTATCTAGGACACAGTTCCTTCCCTCTTCCTTTGACTGAATCCACTCAAACAGTAAGTTGTCTGGTCTCACACCTATAGTCAGCCCTGGTGAGAATCTAGGAGTCGACTTTTATGAAGTCACCTAAGACTGTTCCTAGACAGCCCTAACAGCCAACAGCTGTCACTTCTCTTTGCTTAATAAGGTGCTACTTTCCAATTATTTCATGCTGCATATAGAAATGTATAACTTTGCCATGCCATAGGAGACTATCCTACTATCCCTCTATTGATGAAAACTGGCTGCAGATGGACGGCAAAGACTGGTATTCTTAAAACACAATTATGCTAAGATAAAAGGAAAAGAGGGACAAAGGACAGGATCTCTGCCAAAAAAAAAAAAAAAAAAAGTTAAGCTGAAAGGCTGGGAAATGCTAAGCTGCTTACAATCTAGAGCAAAGTTTTTGCAACACTCTGGTGAGAAATCTCTTATCAGCCCATGAAACTCTACTCTCTGCACATTTCTTTATTGGTCCCTAATATCCCTAGGGACAAAAGGAAGGCTTATTTATATCAAAATATGTTAACTAAATTCTTAAAGAACTGTGATTCTAAAAAACAGTCCCTGCTATATAGCCATGACCAGTGTAAGGTAAGGGCCATTGTGGCCAGGTTCAAATGAACTTGGGACAAACCTGCATGCATGCTCATCCTTGATCTTAAGCTGCCTGACAGGAAGAAAAGAGTTAAGACTATTTCCTGAAAAGAAAGCAAAAGGTCTACTGAATATCCAATGACATTCCTTTAAGTCCTCAATAGCTAGGGTTGAAGAAATTAAATCAAGGACAGAGCCTCTGGCTGCCACTCAGACCGACCACAAAATAGACATGCAGTATAAAAGGCTGAGATGATTTACAACTTTCTGGGCACAGGATTAACAGGTTTGAGAAACCAAAAGTAGCCCAAGAAAGAAATGAGAGTTGCACAATCTTGATTCTTTAGCTTATACTACTTCAAGAATAGGGGTTAAGCTTCAAGCAGAAGATGGTGGGAATTCAACAAATGTGACTGAATGACACTGGTTCCCCACCTCTGAGTAGACTCAGGAAGGTGTGTTATGTGTTATGTGTCCTGACTCATTCAACGCAAGCTGAAAAACAGCTATACCATGACCTAAAATCACATAACTAGTTCACTGCTGGCTATATAGTATGGATGTTTATCTACCTTAAATTGACTCTTTTTATTTTTGGTTAAGCTCTGAAGTTGTTTGTCTTTGGGTTAAACAGTAAACCTCAACAATCAATTAACTCTTCAGTTAGGGCCCTGCGTTTCCTTGCCTGGGCATGGAGAGGTCGGTGACTCCATTCTTCAAACAATGGGACTTCATGGCCTCTAAACTCTTCTGTAAGTTTTCATAAGTTGGCTTGTGTGAAGCCCTTTTCTTTGTAATCTGAACACAAAGAAAGGATCCAAATTTCCATTAGTCAAAAATGATAGATAATAAAAAGTCATCAGATCCTTCTATATCTTGAACATTAAAAGAGTAGTGCATTTTTATTGATTCATCTAGAGCAAGAATGACAACTATCATGCTGCCCCTTTTACACTGTTAAGGAAGATCCCAGGAAAATCCACTAAACAGGGACTGAGGAACCTAGACTCAACTAACTATCTAGCGGTCCTTCCTTTTCCAAGGAAATCCATGAGATCAATAAATTGTGCTTATTGTCAATTATTTTTAAGCAAGGTAGGTGAAAGTTTTTGTGTCATTTACAAGAGATAAGCTACATGTCTGTGACAAGGAACCCATACAATCTGAAAATTTCCTGTTAAAATTTTCTATTTATTACTTGCTTGCTTTTTGTATTCTACAAAACCAGAGAGTGGTAGTTTTCCTAAGTAAAAACAATGAAAGTTACATCAATCTTAAAGACAGAATTCAATAGATTAGGACATACCTGTACTCAGTTTGCTGTTCAGATCAGGCTTGTAATAAATTGGCTCAAAGTCAATCACCACCATCACCTAGGGAAGCCACATACCCTGGGCCAGAGACCGTTTGGACTAGCAGAGAACCCACACTCAGGCAGCACGCAGACTAGCGGAGAACCCACACTCAGGCAGCACGCAGACTAGCGGAGAACCCACACTCAGGCAGCACGCAGAAGAGGAGCTAAGTGTTACTTGGCACTGCATTTGGAAATCTCTCCTGGGACATTTTTATTTCCCTCTTACTACAATTAAGAAAGAATCAATTATAGGAGGCAGCCCTAACTTTTGCAAGTCTTAGAACACAGGTCTATGATGGAGGGCACAATAGTATTGCCCATGGAGCTGGGATACAGCCTGACATTCCTTTCTAACCTAGTGCTCCAGGAAGCCAGCACCAGGGGCCCTGAGTTGTCATGAGATCAGAAATTTTTTTCACATCCTCTAGAATGAAGCACAAATGTAGTTCACCAATCCTTAGAACGTATTAAGATTTGGCCCCATCTTACCAAGTAATATATATAGCGCCCATCTCTCTTCAGAACAGCCACTTCTCCAGATTTCTTTTCTAAGAAAAACAGTTAATAGTAATGAAGGAAACCAAAAACAATCGATCTCCACTCTTAATATTAAAACAAATCACAGACCTGAGTTTACGTCAGAACTGGAAATAATTTTTACTTGTAAAGAAACTAGTATCTCCTATGAACTTTTTGCTGCTTCCCAAATACTGCATTCCTTAACTTATAATCATGCTTCTTCACACCCTACTTTTTGTCCTGCCCTGAATTTCAATATATACCCTCCCTACCCACTTAAAATACTTGAATGCCTACTGCCTTGAAAATGTTTTAGAATGTACTGTTTTAAACTGCCAACTCTCTGATCATTCAATAATGATCTTTTAATAGAGTTTGTTAAACATTATGAGATGCACAAAAAAAAGTTATTTAAGTTTTCAATTCAGAGGTGTCACTTTTACAAGTAACTATAACACAAAGCAGTAAGAAACTGCTTTTGTAGAAAACTGGAATCAAAATGATTGGTAGACTATGATTCAGTAATCCTGGAATTTGGTCTGAGAGACTGTATCAAAAGCTCCATATATGATTCAAATGCACACCTCATTGGTAGAAAGTGATGTGGAGAGTCTATAAGAACGAGATTTCTAAACTTCTCTGAAGAGTAAGTAGAATATTATTAAGTATAGGGCCTTTATGCCAAGTTAACACCTGTGGTCTTTGCTAAGTATTCACTTATCAAATTTTTCAGAGAAGTGAAGTAGTATTATTAAGGAAATTTTATGATAGAGAAATACATTAGAAACTTTTATAGGAGTTTGGTGTGATAAGAGCCAGAACCAAATGTGAATTCTTGTGAGGAAAAACTTAATCTGAACAGTTAAAAAGCACTCAGTCATTAAAAAGAAAATAAAAAACCCATGTTGCATGCACATCCTAATAAAGTATACCAGAACATCAAAAGATGCTTAAACCGGGGCAAAACAAGAAAGTTGTTTTTCAAAACTCACGTTGGTTTATCAGTTCCTGCACCCCTCCAAATTTCTTCTTGAAGAGGACTGCTATCCCAGCTCCCATGCGACAATCCTCACTGATACAATGGGCTAGAGAGTCTGTTCTGGGACATGCGAAAAGGTCTCCTTTCACATAGGTGATCTACAATGTGCAAAGGGTAAGAAAATATTTCTATTAGACACGGGAAAATACTAAGCTATTTCTTTCAGTGTTACTATGCACCCCCACACCTATCTCTATTTCTTCCCCACTTCCTCACCAATTTGAATTAAAACCAAATGCTCAGAATTTAAGGAATTAACCACAACGAATTAAAGTATGTGTAAAAGGAAAATGATGGACGGCCCCTGCCCAAGGTTGTATTAGGCCTTTCTTAAGTAAATCAGCGAGAGAGGACAACAAAAAAGACAATCCAGTTGTTGGTTTAATTAAAGCCTTTATGCTTTTGACCTCAATTACTCCGCAGTTCTTACGCACTCTGCTTCCATCTGGCTCTTCATTAAGGCTGCTGGCCATGATACTGAGTCACTAGTTCCAGAACTTAAGCGCTGCTTCTGCTACGAGAAGGGAAAAGCAAGTAAAAACCGCTCAGGCTGCCCCGACCCCCACTTATCGGGTGTCCCCCCAGAGGGACTCGCTGAACGCTGAGCTCCTGGGGAGCAATGCAAAGCCGGCTGGGGCCAGGAAGGGCGGACGCCGGGCTCGGCGGCTGCGCCACCCGCTCGCATTTCGCGCTCTCCGGGAGCGGAAGCTATGGCGGCCTAGACACGCCTCCTCCGGTCTCCTCGCCGCTCCCGGCAGGGCGGATTTAGGACGGTCTCCTTCTCTCTGCAGGACGCAAACGTCTTTTCCCAGTGGACTTGGATTAGAAGAAAAAAGGGGGGACTTGGCCTCGGTCCCGTGGAGCCACAACCAGACAGTGTACGGGGCAGGGGGTGTGCTGAGCACCAGGCGGGGGCCAGGCATGGCGGCCTTTCAAGGAAGGTTCGCCCCTTCTTTGGGGCGTGTGGGGGGAGAAAGGAGTCTAGAGAAGCTTCCCACGCTCGCTCCTACCCTAGGAGGGTCAGTCCTGGGATCCCGTGGGAAAGTGCGTACCGGGGCCACCCATCACCTGGAAAGGAGTCGGCCGTTTGGAGGTGCCCGCCCCGAAGGGAAGGGCTCGGCATCGGACCCCGGTAGGTGAGAGCAGGGACGAGCCGCGGTGCGGAGCCAATCCCTTCACAGCCTTATATTGCACACAACCAAAGATGGCCGCCGCCGCTCTGGAGCGGGACGGACACGAGCCCCTCTAGCTAGCTAGAGCCGGCTCTCTGTGGTGAGGGCCGCGGAACTTCCGGCGACAAATTCCTCGGTCTCCCGCTGCCGCCTGGGCATGCGTAACCAGACTGTTGGGAAGAGCGGCGCTTGCGCATTAGCCGCTTAGAAAGGCGTGAACAGCGGGCAAAAGGGCGAGTTAGCGCCTGCGTGGTACTACGTGTTTGAGTTGAAGGGTCTGCCGCGTCTTGAAGGCGCCTGCGTAGCCCTTCGGCCGGAGGTGGTGTCAAATCAAGGAAGTGGGCGTGGCCTGGGGACGCCTGCGCAGTGCTCCTCCGGGGAGGGCGGGACCAGCCCGTCTGGGGTTAGGGGGCGTGGCCTCTGAGGCGCCTGCGCGGAGGCGGTTGGAGGGAGGCCCGATTCCCCTTTGTTCGAGTTCGCCATTTTGCTAGGCAGCGGCAGTGGCGGCGGCAGCGGCGGCTGGAGCCTCTGATTGGGTTTCGGAGTCCGGTACTGGAGCCAATCAGCGCGGGCAGCGAACCGGGGGAGCGAGGCACGGTGAGTATGAGGAGCCAATATCCAGCGGCCCAGAGCCGGCCCCAGCGCCCCGATTGGCGGGTCTCGCTGACCACTCAGGAGAGGCCCAGGCGCCCGTCGAGCCCGGGAGTCGATCTGAGCCCAGCCGAGCTGGACGGCCGGCGGCCCTTACTCGCACCTCGGGGCATTCCCGAGCGAGGCCTGCAGGGGCCGCCCAGTGCGGGGATGGCGGCCCCGGGGTCAGACTCCCCGAGATCCTGGCTCATGCAGGGTGCCAGTTGGGGATGCACCCCCTTTGCCCCGACCCGTAGGCGCAGGTTGTCAGGCCCCAGGCAGGGGTGTGATGGGTTTGCCTGCCACGAGTGCCCCTGCACTCAGGTACACACGCGCACCCCCGCCTCGGCGGTCCCCCCTGTCCTTCCTGCATCGGCCGTAAGCCCGTCCTTTTAGCCGCCACCCTCCGACCCTCCGGACCGGAAAGGGCCTCCCGCGAGCCCGCGTCCCCTAGTCCTGCGGGAGCTGAGCCTGTGTCCCTAGCCCCTCCGGGACGGGAAGGAAACCGAGGGGAGACGCGCGCCGCGGCCATCAGACCCAGTGCAGCGGGCGGGGCGCTGCGGGCCCGGGTCGGCCCAGGAGGGGGGCCGTTAGCTCGCCCCTGCCGCGCCCCTCCTCCCGGCCCGCTCGGCCCGGGTCTCCGGCCCGGCGCCGTTCCCTCCCCCTTTTGGCTCGTCATTTCCTCTCCTCCCCGCCGCGCTCGCCCGGCCGGGACCGCACACCTCGGTGCTGGAGCCCAACCTAGCTGTCCTCCTTTCTTGCGCGGGGCCTGGCCACTCCGCGCCTGGAACCTCACTCGGAAGATTGATGGCACTGCGCATTCTTTTTCCCGGAGGCTGCACAACTTGTTCATAGTAAACGTCGTATCCGTGGTTCATTCTGTGAACCATTCCTCCCTCGCATACACCGATTTGTGTGTGTGTGTGTGTTCTTTCACCTGTCTCTGTCCTTTTGGAAGTGTCAGGCTTGATTTGTTAGCTTAGTCCGCACATGTCTTGGTTTATTTACTTCTTCTCATATACTTTCTAAGCCCACGTTAACGTTTCCTCAACAGATGTTTAGAAAAAGAGTGTCATGGACTTTTTTTCTTAGAGGAGAGGAAATCTCCCCAGGCAGGCAATTACGGAACAGTTAGTTTGTTTCAGGCATCACCTAAGTGCTGGAGAGAGAGTGGGTAAAGGTAAATAAGAGCCGCCCCTCCTTGGTGCAGATTGACACGTGACACTAACCAGTATCTAATATTTAGAGCTATACATGGGGACGAAGTACTGTTGCATGAATCAAGCAACAGCCTCTTCATCACACTTTTGATTGGTCTTGAAGGATGATGACATTTATTTGGATGGAAAGAATGGATGAAAGTATTGATTGCTTGCAGATTGAAAAACGTGCTGAGGCTGAGCTATGTGTGAAGCATAAAGGTGAGATGTAGGGAAGTGGGCAGGAGTGTTGAGAGTTTAAGTGAGAAAGCCCAGGTGGTAAAAAACACTTGTAGGTCATGCTGAGAAATTGTTTTTGTAAGAGTTATTTTGTCTTAGAGTTTCAGGTAGACAAGATCTAGAACTATGTTTGTTTGTTTTTAATACTGAATAAAAAGTGAATTCTGCCCTATTATAATAGTGGCTGACTTCTTTGGGGGAAGAAAAGGAGATTTTTTTTCTCCTAGGAAGCTAAAAATGTTTTTTTCTCAGATGCAACATCTGGACTATTTAAGCACCAACACCTGTTAGGACAAGGTTGAATTATAGCCTAGTACAAACAGAACAGTCACAGGTTAAAAAAACAGATGAGAAGTAGAAGTGGGAAGAAAGCAAGGCTGTTTATACTAGAATGCTGACAATAAATCACAGAAGGGATAATGGATTAGGAAACTAGCATTCTGCAAACATTACAGTAAAAGGTGACTCAGGAGAGTGCACATCTAAGAGCACCTTGAGAGGCCAACCCAGGGCAGGAGGCAGTCCTGTGGGACAGGACATCTACATAGTCTGTGTATCTCCCCCATACTGAAGATGAAGGGAGAACAGTAAGTGTTCACTGGGAGAACCAGACATCACCTGCATCAGGTAACCAAGTTAACATCACCAGCACAGGGCAAATGGACAACTGCTTCCAGATCTAGTACCCCAGGCACTCCAGCCGGCTCAAACCTATAAGTACGAGACCTAACTAAGGATGGATGTTCTGTAATTAGCTACAGCTCTTTAGAAATATCAGCTCATGAAAGACAAGCTGAAGAACTGCAGCAGGTTAAAGACTAAAGAAACCCAAGGACTAAATGTAGTGTATTGTCCTAGACTCAGTCCTGGACCAGGAAAAGAAGATAGGGGAGAAATTGTCAAAGTGAGAATGCAAGGTGTAGATTAGGTAAAAAGTATTGCCTACATTAAATGTCTGGAATTGATACAGTTATTATTCTTTAGGTAATAGTAAGTATTAAGAAGTAAGGGAATACAAAGTTGTGCATGGTAGTACAGGTCTGTAGTCCTAACACTCAAGGGGCTGAGGCAGGAGGATTGTTGGGGCCCAGTTAAAGGGCAGCCTGGGCAACACAGTGAGACTCGTCTCAGAAAAAAGAAAAAGGTAAAGGGTCAAAAAGAAGGAAAGAGAAAAAAGGAAGAAGGAGATGGGAAACATTTGGTTTTTTTATATTTTCTCACCTTTTAGTTCAAAATAAAAAGTTTAAAAAAAAAAAAAACTACCAAGTATCTATCTTCTTTAGAGAGGTGCCTTTTAGACATTTATCTAAAAGACAATTATCCTCTGGTCCATTCCTGTAGAGCTTCTACCTGCTGCAGAAGAATCTTTTTGCCCACAATTGTAAGAGAATAATGTGGCCTCTAGCGTTCTCTGGACATGGGGCATTTTAATATGCTGTTCACATGCTGAAATTTTTCTGTCTTTATTTTATGCTCTCTTCATTTGTACTACCTCATCCCCTTCTACATCATCACCTAGCTAAATTCTCACACAGTTGAGATGGCACCTTATATCTAAAAACATTTAGAACAATGACATGTTGTACATCATTAGTGGCAAGAAGGAGCAAATTAGGAAGATCCAATTCAGAAACTTCTGTTGGATGATGGGCATCCCTTTATTATCTAGTCTTTGATGAAACAAAAAAGATCCGTTGATTTGTTGTGGAATTAATGGACTAGCTGGTTCTTAGAATATAAAAAAAGCACATCTTATGTTATATGAGAATAAATATTGTTTCTTGAAACTTGCTTCATTTACATTTTTGTATGCTTACGTATGCACCAAGTTGTGATACAAAACACATTTAACTGTGGTTTGCAGTTAAAGAAAAAGACTGCACCATGGTACACATCTGTAATCCTAACACCTGGAGGGTGAGTGAGGCAGGAGGATTGAGACTCCAAGGCTAGCCTGGGGAAGTACATAGTGAGACCCTGTCTCAAACATACCCCCACCCACACACTAAAAAAAAAGTTAGAAAGGTACTAATCTAGTGTTTGCCTGGTAGTGATTATCAAATACAGTGACCTGAGGACTTTTCCTATGCTGCTGGAAGCTTTAGCTTCGGGATGTGTGAATGGCCACATAGAATGGGTTCCTAGTGGTTGGCCAGCTTTCTGCTTTTGCACCTAGAAATGCTGGGCAGAGATGCTTTGGGAAGAGAATATCCATGTTGGCCAGAATAAGCACATACTGTCATCCATCTCTCTCCTTCCCCTCTCAAGAAACATTCAAAACTTTGTGTTAGGAGTAAAGAGCTAGAAAGACTAAATCTGGCTGACTTAATTTTATCGTAATCTAGGGCAGAGAAATACTTGAGGAAGGACAATGTGTCATATTGTATTGCAGTTCTGCTAACTTAAGGTTCACAGTAGCAGGAACATTCGGCTTCACTGAAGCCCGTTGCTCACAACATTCACCATGAGCAGTCTTATGCTCTAAGCTAAATCACTCCCACATTCATTTGAGAAAGTTGCTACTAGATTTGAAGCTGCTTTAACTTTTACCCTACAAAGTATAGTGAATTTAAATGTTCTTAAATTGGAACATTTGTATTACCAGGATAAGGTAGTTCAAAGAATTTGTATGTTCTATTAGTTGTTTCCATGTGCTTCAAGTTATAGTTTAGTCTGATAAGATGTACATTTCTGGGAATTAGTCAAGGAAAAATCATGTAAGAAGAGGCTTGGGGCAGAAAGTATTGAAATATAGAGGATATAGTCTTTATTTTCAGATCAGCTTTCCTGAGGTATGTTTTGTTTTGGGGTTTTTTTGATGGTACTGGTGTTTGAACTCAGAGCTTTGCACTTGCAAAACATGCACTCTACCACTTGAACCACACCTACAGTCAGTCCATTTCGCTTTGGTTATTTTGGACATGGGGTCTTACAGACTATTTGCCTTGGCTGGCCTCAAACCTCAGTCCTTTCAAGTGGCTAGGATTACAGGCATGAGCCACTAGCACCCAACAAAAGATAGTTTTAGGCAAACTGTAATCACATTCAGTGTATACTTTGATGAATTTTGACATACCTACATGCTGGTACAACCACTGTCACAGTGAAGATATAAAACACTTTTATCACCTCAAAGTTCCTAAAGTTTCATCCCAATCAACCTCTCTCCCCTTCCCTTGTGTCTCCAGGTTTTCATGGTTTCATATTAATGGAATCATTCTTTTATGTCGTGACCTTTATTATTTTAGAAACACATGTTACAGACAAGATAGAATTTAGGGGAACCACTTGGCTTCCCTAGCAGAGCCACTTAGTCTAGTTGAAAACTTGATTTTCAGTGCTGTACCCAGAATCTCTCAAGAACTGATTTCACCCAACCAAGTCAGAAGAGACTGGTGTGTAAAAGTCAGAAAATCCAATTGATGAGCGTGTAGTGGCAAGTAACTATCAAGTTGGCTTTAGGTTGTACTCATAGTAGCTCTGTTGGCAACTCTATGTAAGTCCTTATTGTAGCCAGAAATTTGTATGATGAGTACCCTGTTACAGCAAGGGCAGTGATTTGGAGAACCATACAGCCAGAAGCCAACATCACTTATTTTATGACGGTATAATCATTTCAGGACAAGTTTTAGATATCAGTATACTTCTAAATGCTTGGACATGCACTTGAATATTGTTAGTCACCTTTCCATTACTGAAACAAAACTACTGGAAATAATAAACTTATGAAGAGAAGAGGTATATTTTGGCTCATAGTTCTGGAGTTTTCCAGTCCATGGTGGATGAGCCCCCTTGCTTTTGGTTCTCTGGTAAGGCAATATATCTTGGTGGCAGTAGATACCAAAACTGCTCACCTCTTAGCCAGGACATGAATAAAAAAGCAGAAAGGTCACACCCTCACTGACTGGAAGACCTCCCATTAGGTCATATCTCTTAAAGTTTCCACTGCCTCCCAATAAGTGCAACCTGAGGCCTTTGGAGAGACATTCCAAATCCATTCTATAGCAAATGCATTTTGATTTCTTCCTTTACAACACCATGTTGAGACACCTCACAAGTGTCAACTATCATGTATGAATTTATAGAGAACAATCAGTTATCAGACTGATTTTTTGCAGTACCACACTGCTTACATTCAGTCATTTTACTTAATAATGGCTCCACGGCACAAAAGTAGTGATTCTTAGGAGGCACCAGTGAGTAAAACTCGCAAACTCAACTTAACACTGTATTTTAAGACAATACTGTAAGGCAAGACATAGTTCATGTAGAATTTGGTACTATCCGAGGGGCTTCTATATCTAATTATAAATGTTTTGTTGTTGTTGTTTGTAAACTCACATAATAATTATACATGTCTATAGGGTGGAGATTTTGATAAGCATAATATTTGACTTCAGTTTTCAGGTAAACTAAGTTGCTTACCATATAGAGCTGACTACTGTAGCATGTTTGATGGGCAGCAAATGTGTCACACAAATTAAAGAGAGAGCTGTGTTGCAAAATGAGTACTTCTAAGGTACAAGTGTTGCCCTAGTAGTATTGAAGGTAAGGTTGGCAAAAAGAAATGACTAAAAGCATTTTTTTAAAATGTGGAAATAGCTTGATCTTGTTCTGATTGTGCCATATAATCCTAGTTTAAAACAATACTGAATGTAAACACTTCCTATTCTTTTAACCTGTTTTCTTGCAAATATTAATTGCATTGATAAATTGTCTGGCAGGACCTTTACTGATAATCTCAGTTTCTTTCCTGCCTTTTCTAATAGGAGTGCACCACCTTGAAGTCTTCAGAGATCTCCAGAGTGAAGTTCACCGTGGACAGGATTGTAACTTGGAGGGGCCATGGAGCAGTATACAACAAATAGCAATAGTTCCACAGAGCAGATTGTTGTGCAGGCTGGACAGATTCAGCAGCAGGTATGGAAGCAAGACTGCTTTAAGCATCATAGCAGGGGAGCTGATAATAGCATCATCCAATTGGTTGATATATTACTGTGGGGAATTATTTGACAGGTATCAGATCTTGCAAAATCCTGGGTCTGATGACATGCTGTGAGGGCCCTTCCTGAGTGGTGGTTCAGTAGTAAATTGCCCCTTTTATCTCATTGAAAATCACAACACCTAGTCTGTTTTTCAGATGCAAATTTAGAGTTTTGGTTTTTTCTGGATTCAATTTGGGTGGTTTCCCTTCCTGTTTGAACTAGCTTGTGATTTGGCCACAGTAGACAATAGTTAGCTTTCAGGAAATCCACTGTTCTTTGATTTGGTCCACCACAGTGTTTATTCTGAAATGCTCTAGTTTAACATTAGGACAATATTTAGACAACCACTCTTATGGATAAGCACATACTAAGAATGAATTCCTGATAGCGGTTTATTCCCTAAATAAGAATTTGGAGAATTTATACCCAGATTACATTTTCTGATGCTTTTTTTAAGCTGTGTTATTTTAGTAAAACTTTACTTTTTTTCCTACCCCCTAGAAGAAAAGTAAAAAGACATTTATTTTGCTTTCATTTGATCATAGGCCAAGATTGATAACTTAGGAATATTTTGTCTTCAAAATGTAATTTAGCTAATAAAGAAAAGTAGTTAGTACAAAGGGTAAAGGAATTATTGATGGTGAGTTGTTCCAATCTAATGATCAAAAGAAGGTGTTACTCTTCATTAAAAGAAATTAATTACATAGGCTTCCTTGCGGGCCTTCTCTTTTGTATTGCTGTGAGGTTGTGGCAGCTTCCTTCATTTGCCTTATAGAAAGGGACTCCACAAAGAGCCCTCCAAGCTGACCAGTGCCCTAGTGGATGGATTTCTCTTCTGTCAGGACTTACCATGAGACTGTGAAATAAGATTGCATCACTGAAAACATTGCTTCTAAGACAATGCAGTTGGGTAGAAATAAATCTGAGTTTGGAGACAAAAGGAGTGACCTCATGAACATGATTTTGGTACACAGTGATTAGCTCATTCTTCCTCTTTTGGTGATGCATTTAAGCCCCAGGAGTTTTTTGTCATAGTTTCAAGGCTGTTGAAATCTGATTATTTTGTTCTTATGAACTTATCTTATGAGCTTATCTAACAAAGTAAAAAGAGCATTAAAATAATTGTGTAAGCCGAATAGTCTTTCCTTCCTATTTCTGTGTTAACTATGATGTTACTTTGACTTGAATTATGGAAGTTTGTTTGGTTTTTATTTTTTTTTTGTTTTGGTTTGGTTTTTGGCTGTACTGGGGCTTGAACTCAGGGTCTTGTACTTGCTAGGCAGGTGCTCTACCACTAGAGTCCTGCCCCCAGGACTTCCTCTTTTAATTATTTTTCAAATAAGATCTCTCTTTTTGTTTGTTTTTGGCAGCTCTGGGGTATGAACTCAGGGTTTTATGCTTGCTAGGCAGGCATTTTGCCATGTTAGCCACAACTCCAGGTCTTGGATCTCACATTAATGTTGGGGCAGCCTAGACCTTGTTCTTCCTATTTACTTCTCCTAGGTAGCTGGTGTGACAGGTGTGCGCCACCATGCCCAGTTTTCGTTGGTTGAGATGTGGTCTTATGAACTTTTTTGCTCAGGCTGGCCTCAAATTGTGACCTCTATCTCTAAAGTAGTTAGATTACAGTCTTTTGAGGTCCACTCTGGGGATAGAGGGCTAATGTCTTTGATCTTACTATACAACAGCTTCAGTATGGGAAGTCTGTATATTTGAGGCTTTTTAAAGAAGACTTCCCTCCCCCTCCCCAAGAGGTAAGGTGATCTCATGTCTTGAGCTATACATTTCCTTCCTGAACATTTCAAGCTTTTCCTGTTCCTGTTCTCAGCAGCAGGGTGGTGTCACTGCTGTCCAGTTGCAGACTGAGGCCCAGGTGGCATCCGCCTCAGGCCAGCAAGTCCAGACCCTCCAGGTAGTGGTGCCCTCTCTGATTCTCTATGAGCACTGCATGAACTCTCCTCTCCTCATGTCTGGTGCTGTTTGTGGTAGGACCTCAAGTAGAAATGGCAAAGTCAGTTGCATGTCTTTGCTGCTGCTAACTTGTCTTCAAGGCTTATAGGTGCCAGTTTCCTAATGTTTCATGCCAAGTCATGTAGTAACTGCTCTATTAATTGCCTCAAAACTGTATTTGTGTGTTTCTTTGAAAATGTTTTGGGAAAAAAAATCAAAAGTGACAGGAAGAAATTCTTACAAGTAGTATTAGATCTTATTCAGTGCTCAAATTGCCTAGTAAACATTTCGTGAGATCATATCATAGAGAAGCAAATACACACACTAATAATAGAATGTGCTTTATTTTTGCTAAAAAAGCAACTGAACTACAAAATAATCTCTGCACCTGGCAGTTTATCTAAGCACTGAATCTTGTTAATCTCTTGTCAACTACTGCTTTTTTACTACCTTTCCTGGGGGAATAGTGACCTGTCTTATTACTGGCTCTGCAAAGATTGGTCTCTATACCCCATAATTGGGCAGGAATGGGATGTGCTTTTAAGATTTAGGCATTAGAGCCACTATAAGAATTCTTACTGGTTACATGGATGTGCTGTAAAAAGAAAAGAAAATCTTTAAAAAGAATTCTTGAGTAACCAATGCCATTCTATAATATATTCTTGACCAAGATAAATATCCTAATTGGCCTAATTTAGTCAGTTTCTTTATAAAAACAAGAGAAGTACTAGTCTTTTCTGGACCTGTAGATTACTAAAATTATCAGGTTTTTGAGAAATTATCAAGATTTAGGTGCCCTACATTTTTCCTCCATTGAATTGGAAATAATTCAAAATAGGGCCTAGGATGTAAAGCTGGCATCTCAACTTTAATACGAGTGCTGCTAAACATCCTGCAGTTAACTACCCCTTGTTATAATCATTTCACTTTACCCTTTTGACCCATGCCCCCATCCCTGACACTAATAGTGTTTGTTTGGTGGTGAATTATAGCCAGATCTGGGAATAAATCTAGCTGAAAAAAGCTGATCATGTATGTACTCCCGAAATGAATTCAGATCTCAGAGTTCAATAGCTTTTTGTTCATGCTTGCTTCATCTTATTAATATATAAAGCAGTATTTGGATTATTGTTAACCACTTGTGGAATGGGAATGTAACATGCTCTTAAGCTGTATGGCTTCTTGTCTGATGCATGTGTCCTCATGGTCATTCATGTGTTGTAAACACGGTGAGCTCTTTGGAGTTCAAGTCTCTTATCATGTGCATGTGTATATAGCATGTGAAAGAGGGAGGAAGTTGAGATGATGGGTAGCCAGGGAGTTGTTAACAGTGTGTCTTAAAACCTGTGTTAACTACGTGTTTAGATGGATTTAAAAGAAATGGGCACACATTACGGACGTAATGAAAACCTTTCCTCTGAGGGGCTTATTAATTTTGGAGAGTTTTAAATAGTTCTTTCAGTTATTCATGCGGCTATAAATCTTTCCTGATACAGGTTGTGCAAGCATTGATGTAGCAAAGGGAATTTGAATAGGGAAGTAAGGAAAGTTTGAGAAAACATGAGAGGTCAGGCTGTAAAGGCCTTAAAAGTAAAGTAGAGTTTCTCAAGGGAGAGTTTCACAAAACTTAGATTTAAATGTTCCCAATGATTGTAATACATTGGTGGTGATAGTGGTGGTGGGGACAATAGCAGGAGAACCTTGCTGTCTAACCTGCTCATCTAAGACAAATTGATCTCATAATTAGTTGCTATTGTTGGAGCATACTCCACTGGCATTATGAGTATTTTGGGCTGGAGGTGAGGCTCAAGGGGTAGAATGCCTGCTTAGCAAGCATAAAGCCCTGAGTTCAAACCCCAGTACTGCCCCCCCCCAAAAAAAGGAATATTTTATAAATATTCTTTTATTCTGCTACAAATAATTCCTTAAAGCAGATAAAATCTGAAAATGAAAGTTTTGAATTTTCAGCTTCTAGAATGCATTCTACTAAGTATTTTTACATTGGAACTCAAGATGTGACAAAGCACTTGCTTTGACCCACTTTCTGAAGTTGTCCATTGACTCATAAGAACTTAAAAGCTGGAAATTATATTTGTATACTTGACTGCTCTAATTTCAGTATTTGTCATTGTTTCTGATAATGCTAAAATAACTAAACATATATTACAAGGCTCTATCACATAGATTGCAAACTGACCGGGAATTATTCCAGGAAATCTTTAGGCAACAGACATATCTAGAATCCTCAGAGTGAGAGAAAGGGTACATTTCACCTTTGCTAGAGAGACTGTGGGCAGAAAGGGTCCTCTGCATACATTTTTAGGGCTTTTGTTAGCCAGCCCTTGAAGTTATGGCTACATACAGTTTGATTTACTCCCTGAGGGTGGTTTAGAATTTGCACTCAATTACCACCACCTTCACTTCCCTCTCATTGCCTCTTCTTCAGCTCTCACTAGAGACCATTCCTGGGTATTGGCTTCAAAGGGCAAATAGCCTTGACGTCTTAATTAAATGTTTGTTGTGGATTTAATGTATATTTGCTGATAAATATTTTATGTCTACTGGGATTCCCCAGAGACTCTAGATATGCTCCATTTTAGCTGACATTCAAGTATTCAACCTGGCATTCACTCTACAATATCAGATATTTGAAGAATGTCACTTGACAACTTAAGACTTATTTTCTTAGTGTCTCTCTACCTTTCCCCCCTCTAGCCAGGCAGCAGAATAATTCCAGTGTGTCTTTCTTTTTAATTTTTTTAATGTCTTATGTTATTTCATTGTTCTTGTTTTATATCATTCTAGGTCCAAGGGCAGCCATTAATGGTGCAAGTCAGTGGAGGTCAGCTGATTACATCAACTGGCCAACCTATCATGGTCCAGGCTGTCCCTGGTGGACAAGGACAAACCATCATGCAAGTACCTGTATCTGGGACACAGGGGTTGCAGCAGGTGAGTGGTATTTTTAAAAAGTGTTTAGATAGCATATCAAAATAGAAGGGGTGGCTGGGAACTGCTGTACAGTTGATGCTGCATTTAATTGCTTTCTACCCTCTTATTTTGGATTTAGTCAATTTTTGTAGTACCAGTGATATAAAGCAGAACTGTGCAGAAACTTGACTTCTCTAGGAAGAACTACGATATTAGGCATGTTTGGATGCTATAAATAATGTAAAAACCTGAGAATTTAAGTTAATTGTTGATGTTAGAATACCTAAGGGCTGGGGGATAGAATTTACAATTTGCTTTGGAAATTTTGGTTTTAGTCATAAAGGTTATCCTTTTTGTTTTTTGAGATGGTGTCTTGCTATGTAGCCCAACCTAGCCTCATACTCTAGAACCTCAGCCTTCCAATGCTGGGGTTGCAGGTGTTTTTGTCACCATGCTTGGCAATATTGTCTTCTTTTCTTTTCTTTTTTTTTAAATTAGCATATATTAATTGTACAAAGGGGTTTCATTGTGATATTTTCATATATATATATATATATATATAAAATGTTCTTTGAGCATATTCACCCCTTTTCTTTTGCATGTAACTTGAGTTACCTCACAAGTAATACAAAAGAAATTATTTTAGTCCATACTCTTCGCTCACACCTACAGCAAAATTTAATAATTTTAAATACTTTATTTTAAAAGAAGTGGAAATAAATGAATAATTTGTCTTACGAAGTTAGGAAAGGTACAAAATGAGCAAAAATAGAACCAGGCATGTGGTACCACCTGTAATCCAAAGATTCAGGAGACTGAGGCAGGAGGATCACAAGTTCCAGTACATTGAGAGACCGTATCTTTGAAGGACGATCATAGTTCAAGCCAGGCACAAAGGAAGATCCCATCTCAACAAATAAGCCAGGCATGATGGTTTGTTTCTGTAATCCCAGCTATGCGGGAGGCATCAATAGGAAGATCATGGTGCTAGGCCAGCCCAGGCAAAAAATAGGGAACTCTGAAAAATGACTAAAGCAAAAAGGGCTGGGGGTATGGCTCAAGTAATAGGCAAGTAGAATGCTTGCCTACAAAGCACAAGGCCCTGAGTTCAAATTCTAATCCTACCAAAAAAAAAAGATTAAAATTAAGTAGAAACCTACCAAAAATATAGAAAGGACAGATAAAAGCTAAATTGTTTTAGAAGAGTACTAAAATGGATAAATCCACTTGCAAGGCTGATGAGAAACAGAACAAAGGTGCTGAAGAAATTAAAAGAAGTATAGCTTGGGTTAATATTGAAGTATCTTTAGTGAAAAATAATTTTCAGAAAATGCCTACTGTGTGATCTCATCTTTATAATTAATAACTAACTCCCCATGGGTATGTATGTTTACAAGCCTAGAAAAGGGGATGTGGAGAGCTATAAACTTTTTACTATATCTTTATTTCATTACTTATAGCAACCATAGTAATAGCTTATAAAATAAGTTGACAAACACAACCATGATGACACTGCTTATAAATTAAACTTGTAACTTTTACATATTTCCTTGTTTGGTTGGGTTTTTTGTTGTTATTTTGCTTTTGTTTTGGGTTTTTTGCTTACTTATAGCATGGATGTAGCTTTTTTTCCTTATTACTTATTTCTACATGGTTTTCTTAGTTGTCATTTTTAGTTCCTTCAGAATATTTAACCAATTGGATCACAATTTCTAATTGACAGAGTGCATGTAAGAGTTCAGTGTGTTTCTTTGAGGGAGTGTTGTGGTGAAATTACCATAAACATTTGGACACAGTAGTTTTATATTTCAGTTTAATTCTTTGGGTCATTTTCTGGAGTCAGAATTGCTTAGGCAAAGGGTTAGGACATTTTTTAATGCTATTGGCATACTTTTGCCAAGATAGAATTATACTTGAGTCTAAAAATAGTTTCCACATTTCTCCATGCATAAATGCATGAGGCATTTTAATTTTCAGTGTGTGCTGTTCTCAGTTTCACTTTACTATTTCATTTCTTGCCCTTTCTCTCTTTGCCTCCCATTCAGCCCCCTTGCCACACCTTCTCCACTTATCTTTTGAATGTAATTTTATTTTATTCTTATTTTTTGGTGTGATTTGGGGTTTGAACTCAGGGCTTTGTGCTTATGAAGCATGTCTACCCCTTGAGCCACACCTCCAGTTCTTCTCCACTGTTGAATGCACAGTGTGACACAGTGCTAGAAACAGTATCCTGTGAGTGCAGTGCTGACCCGACTTTCTTTCCCAGATCCGCCATTAGGCTAGGTTTCTAATCTTAGTCAAGCCATTTGTCTGTTTGTTTTCTTAGCCAAAACTGTGTTTTATATGAGGTGATATATAGGGTTCAGTCTAGCTATAATTTCTATGGTTTAATGGCCCTTTTTTTCTAGTAAAGATTTGGGAAGTTTTTGTTTTCTTTCCCTGCTTCTCAAGCTGGATTATAAGTAATCAAGCTAGGGTTGAAAATCAGGGCAGGGACAGTATTTAGGCCTGATGCTTGCTAGGCAGGTGCTTGACCACTTGAACCATGCCCCCTGCCCTTTTTGCTTTGGTTTTGTTCAGATTGGTTCTCACTCTTTTTGCCCTGCAAGCCTCGCACCACAATGTTCCTACTACTACCTCCACCTTCTGCATAGCTGGGCTCGCAGACTTAGCACATCCAGTCTTATATGTGCAGCTGTAGCTGAGACTCTAGTCTCCCTTGGGAAGCTCAGGGCACTGGTCCCTCTTACGTAAGGGACCGTTTCTCACTAATGCTCTTGGAATAGCCACTTTTTAACAGGAGAGTGCTTACTGCCTACTGTTTTGCATTACTCTTCATTTTGAATTCCAGTGAAGCCTATGCCGCTGAGAAAAAGTACAGATGTCTAGATACATGCAAATTTTACATGTATTGTTACATTAAGTTCCCTAGGTTGTGGCGTGTGGCTGGGTGACATCCGTCAGTTATCCTGGTTACATAGGCAGTGCCTCTCTGAGTGCACCAACCACACAGGACTCATTCTCAGTGTGGCCTGCTTAAAAAAAGAAAAGAAAAGATCCTAGACTGTTTTTTTCAATCAGGTGAACTAGAATGGAGAACCAAGAAGTAGTGCATGAGTATAGGAAGATGGTATGTGACAAAAGGGTGTATCAGTCGGCAGTCACTCAAGAATGAGATAGAAACCAAAATTGATTTCTACCTCATCTTTCTTAGATCAGTTAGCAATCTAAACGTAGGACTGGGGATGTACATCAGTGGTAGAATGCTTGCCCCACGCATGAGGCCCTGGGTTCAATCCCCAGCAATCAATCAGTCAATAAATAGATGATATATTTAAATTTTTTTTAAAACCACACTTGGAAACTTTCAAATAAGATATAGTGTAATTTTCCTTATACTGCGTTGTAGAGAAAGATTTCTTAGAGACATAAAACAAATTGATTGCTTCAAAATATATCATAAATAAAGACAAGCTACAGACTTGCAAAAAGTATCTTTAGTACATATAACTGAGTTTATATCCAGATATATTTTAAAACCTTATGTATTGAGACAAAAATAACAATCCAGTCAAGAAATGGGCAAAGGATATGAAAAGATGGAAGAGGAAACCCTAATTGCCAATGTAAGTGGCATTCTTTGCTATCTGAAATTAAGAATGAAATAGAATAGAATGAATAGAATGAAATATTCAAATAACTGAGTAAACTTGTTTATTCATCTGCCTGCATTTTGAACTAACAATTAAGGGTTAAGTAGTATTTTGGAGTGAAGCTAAGGCAACCGAGGCAGTCTGTCCCCTAACATCAAAGGATTCACAAATGAGGCCAGCTGGCCTGATAACCTTCTCCTTCCCTTCCATCAACAGTCATTGGTGAGCTTTGTGATCACTTAAGGGTCTAGGCATGTCCTTTCCAGACTAAAGGGTCACAAGTTGAAATTACAGATAGAAAGCACTCTAACTATTAAAATCCTTCTTTCTGAAAGAACCCTGTTTCCAAACTGCCAGTTCTGTGAAGCAGCACTCAGATCAAAGACACCTGTTGATAAAAACTAAAGAATAATTAAAGAACTAGTGAGAAGGGAGATGAAGGTGTTGAGGGAGGGGAGTCTTAGTTTAGTAGCTGTGGGTTGGGGGTATTCTTGAATGTAAAATACTAGAAATACTGAGTTGTGAGGCCTTCTAGATGCTTTTACTTTTGGTCATTAAAACAGTTTGTCTAGTAGTCATAGGAAAACAAGATTCAGTATGCTCAATAAAATGTTTGTTTTGGTTTTTTGGAGTTTTTTTGGAACTAGAGTTTGAACTCGGAGCCTTGTGCTTTCAAGGCAGTTACTCTACCACTTGAGCCATGCCTCTTAACAGTTCTTTAGGTTATAATGTTTCAAAGAAAGATTTTTCAGACTTCTTGCATGTTTTCTAATGATACTCCTAGTGAACTGACAATGGCGATTAAAGTGAGAAAGAAAGAAAATAGGTTTGGATACCACACAGTATCCCTCACTTTGCATGGTTGCTATCTGAGGTTTAGCTATCCAAACCTAGAAGCAAAATAGGAGGTGCAAATTAAATTAGAAAAAGATTGGTAAACATTAATGGCACTATTCAGTATTAGGGAGGATACTAGGAAACAGGATTAGGAGATTAGGACGAATGCAATCGACCACATTGCCTTAGTTATCTATTGTTGCATAATAAATTATCCTAGAAGTTAGTGTCTAAAATAAGAAACATTTTTGTCAGACATGGTGGTTCATACCTGAAATCCCTACTATGCAAGAAGCAGAAATGGGAAGGTCAAGGTTTAAGGCCAGCCCAGACCAAAAGAAAAGTTAACAAGACCATGTCTCAAAAAATCAAAACTGAGCATGGTGTTATATATCTGTAATTCCAACTACTGGGGAGGCAGAGGAAATACACGAAGCCCTGTCTGAAAAATTACTAAAGCAAAAAGGGCTGGGGATGTGGCTGAAGTGGTAGAGCACATGGCGGGGTGGGGTACCATTTCATAGTTTCTGTGGATTAAGAATCCTGGCACAGCTTAGCTGGATTCTCTGACTATATCTGTTTCAAGGCCCTCATCAAGGTATCAACCTGGGCTGCCATCACTTTAACATTTGACTTGGGAAGAATATGTTTTGTGTGAGAGAATAGCATTTCATCTGTAAAAAGAACTTCAGAATGTATTAATAAATGAACACACTTTAAAAATATATGTTGATTCCTTAGTACCAGATAATCTAGGTGGTATTCAAAATTCCTTTATTGAGGCACTTTATTAATTCAGAAAGTGATGTTTTATGAAAACAAAATGGCATATTGGAAGCTGGGGATGTAACTCAGTAGAGTGCTGTCTAGCATGCTCAGTGTTCTGGGTTTGAACCCGAGCACTGCCAAAAAACAAAAACCCCCAATCACTTCATAAGTGGAAAATAAGTTATCAGTAATTCATAACTGAGAGCAGAGTAGGAGTTCTTTTCCCTCTTGAGAGCATTTCCTGCTTTCTCTAGGAATTTGTTTAACATTCAGGAACCAAAGGAGAGTGGTGTCAGTAGAAGACTCTCCTTTCTTTGTGTTCTCTTCTGCAGATACAGTTGGTCCCACCTGGACAGATCCAGATCCAGGGTGGACAGGCAGTACAGGTGCAGGGCCAGCAGGGTCAGACCCAGCAGATCATCATCCAGCAGCCCCAGACTGCTGTCACCGCTGGCCAGACTCAGGTAATTCTGCCAGCTCTATCAGTGCTGGAGCAAAACTGATTTGGAAGGGTCAGACATCAGAGCCAAAAATTATACGTATAGTAGAAATGGGGAAGAAAACCATAAAAAATATTTTAGGGGTTTAAGTACCACAGTGGTTTTCTCTGTGGGTATCTTTGAAATCTATTGATTTGTGTTATTATTTTCTACAGACACAGCAACAGATTGCCGTCCAGGGGCAGCAGGTGGCACAGACAGCTGAAGGGCAGACCATTGTCTATCAGCCAGTTAATGCAGATGGCACCATTCTTCAGCAAGGTAAGTATGCCAATAGTTTCCTGGGACTTTTGAACACAATAAAAGGTCTCTGTTGATGGTTCCTTGTCACCATTACACAACCAACACCATTTCCATTTGTAGAATGGAGTTCCTACAAGTGGTTGTTAAAACTGGTCCAAGGGATTATGTAAGCTTTTAACATTTTTAGAGAAGAAATCTTTTTAAATAGAAGATTGGAAATACAGAGTTTCTTTTGTAGGTGAAAGGAGAAATAAATCTGTTATTAAATTTGCATGTGAGAGGGCTGCTTAGGCTTTATTTGCTTGTTTTCTGGATCACTCCATTATTAATTTGTTCCAAAAAGATTTATATGTCTTCTGTTTATACAGCACTTTACTGTGAGTGAAAAAGAGTTCTGAAAGAGCCTTGATTGAGCCCTGGCAAGAGTTCAGACCAAATGGTGAAATTGTCCTCAAGTGCTGCTGTTGATAGTTGGGTACTCAGAATGCTTGGTTTAAGTTTTTAAGTTTTATTCCTTTAATGACTCATTGTCAACTTGGGATAAGAAAATTATAAGTTTATAAAACTTTTTCCTGGACTAGATTGTTAGATTGAATAACTCTCATGCAAAGTATAGGTAATCAGACAGACCTATAGAGGGGAGGCCTCCAAACTTTCTCACCTCCTTTTGAATGCTATCATTGGAATGTTCTGGGGAAGTACTCAGGAATAGATTTACTCCGAACTAGGCCCTAGACAGTTCATAGAAATTTTTAAGGATGATGATTACCTGAATTATATAGGACACAGCAGAGTGGGAGATTACTTTTTCTCCCTTGTGTTTTTCAGTATGTTTTTCCAGGATGGATGACTGTGTGCCAGATAGAAGAGGGACTAACCATGTTCCCTTTCTGTTCTGTGTGCCTGTTTTTTTTTTGTTTTGTTTTATGTTTTATTTTCTTAAAGTTACAGTCCCTGTTTCAGGCATGATCACCATCCCAGCGGCCAGTTTGGCAGGAGCACAGATTGTTCAGACTGGAGCCAATACCAGCACAACCAGCAGTGGGCAAGGGACTGTTACTGTGACGCTGCCGGTGGCTGGCAACGTCGTCAATTCAGGAGGAATGGTCATGGTAAGGAGATTAGTTGTTCACTTTACTTTTCTGTGTATCTCTTTCTTTGTAAATTTCTTGAACTTGAGGGCTGGAGGTTTGGCTCAAGCAGTAGCGTACCTGCTTCACAAGTGTGAAGCCTTGGGTTCAAGCTCCAGTACCACCAAAAAAATTTTTCTTGAACTTTCAAGGTGTAGGGTTTTTTGGTTTTGTTTTTGTTTTGGCAGTATGGGGGTTTGAACTCAGGACCTCGTACTCGCAAAGTAGGCACTCTACCATTTTAGCCACTCCTCCACCCTTGAACTTGCAAGTTGATGTCTCTTGTAAAATGTAGTATAATGTTGACTTCTTAGGATCAAAACCAATCCTTAAGGCACTTACAGTGGTTTGCTTTTACAATAACATCACAGTGAATAATAAGTCCTTATGAGTGTCTGTCTAATGTGTGCCACAAAATATTCTAAGTGTTGGAGATAGAACAGCAGACAGACAGGTATAAGTACCTAATTTTATTGAGAATTCAGAGAAGGGAAGAATAGGTTACTAATCTTCAGGAAGGGGAAGATACATTGTCCATGGTGGGTAAAACAAGAAATAAAAATTAGATTATAATCAACAGAGAAACAAACAAAATCTGTGATATAAATATATTAGGAAGTTAGGGAGAGTTGAATAGTAAGAGTAAAAGCTAAATCCCCATATGTCAACATAGGATGTTAATGCACAGTGCCAAAAATGAATAAATTAAGAATGAATAGAAGTTGCACAGAGGTGGAGAAGCTACCAGGACAATCAGTAAAATCACTCAGCTTGGCTGTAATTGTTAAGGGGATGGCATATAGGAGCCTGTTACTTATTTCCTCATATATAACACAGTGGTTGTTTTGTTTTTAGAAAAAAATTGAATTATATTGATTGAATTATACAGTAAGTGAACTAATTAAGTTATTCTTATAACTGTTGGCGTTTAGTAACACTTGGTCAGTCTCTGCCTACCTTCCTTTGTGCTGTTTCATTGTCTTGTGACTACTGTTCCTGACAGTTATATGGCAGCAGACATTGCTAGAAAATGGAGCCATAAATGGATATGAAGTTAGGGGTAGTTATTTCATTTCTCTGAGTAGTTTCTCATTCCCCTGTGATAGAGTCATCTGGGATATTTATTTAAAATGCAGGCCTTTAGTGTAAATGTCTCGAGGAATCTGTATTCAACCAAATGCTCTATAAAAGTTACTTTGGGTAATATTCAGAAGAAAGTAAATTAACAGGGCCCTAGAAACTGCTATGTCTGTATCTCATGCCGCTAATAAACTCTCTGGTCTCCTGTTCCCACAGATGGTACCTGGAGCTGGCTCTGTGCCTGCTATCCAAAGAATCCCTCTACCTGGAGCAGAAATGCTCGAAGAAGAGCCCCTCTATGTAAATGCCAAACAGTACCACCGTATTCTTAAGAGGAGGCAAGCCCGGGCTAAGCTAGAGGCAGAAGGGAAGATTCCAAAGGAAAGAAGGGTATGTGTAACATTGGAAAAGAGACAGTAAGTGAAGAACATGATTCCATTTTTGAGGCTACTTTTAATATGGTTTGTTTTCTTTGGTGCCGTCCAACAACTGAACTTAGGTTGCTATGATTTTTGTGTAATTTAGCATTTGTTATTGCTATATGTAGCTTCAGCTATAGCAACAAAAACCAAATGATGGCTTAAACAAGATTTTTTTCTTATATGAAAGAAATCCAGACATAAATTGTCCTGGACTAGTAGCACATTCAATTTATTTTACATTCACATTCTTACAGTTGTCATAGTTAGTTAATCCATGTCTTACTCATGGATTCGATAAGTGTTTTGTCCAAAGCTTTATCCATGATTCAAAGTCTTGTCTCTGTGACTTTGAGCACAGTTGTCTTAAACTTGTAAGGATGAAATTGACACAGTATGTAACTGCTGGTTCTAACTAGTAGTTAAGTAGTTTTCTTTTGTTTTAGAAATACCTACATGAATCTCGGCACCGTCATGCCATGGCTCGGAAGCGAGGTGAAGGTGGACGATTTTTCTCTCCAAAGGAAAAGGATAGTCCTCATATGCAGGTAATGAGATGAAGACCTCTCATTCTTCTCTTTACTGCCTTGCGTTTTCTACAGCAGTGTCCTTTCACTATTTTCACATTCAAGGATGAACTACATTCTCTAAACTGAATACAGCATATACCTCTTAGTTTCTCTTTGACCATAAAGTACTAAAAGTCTTTAATCCAGTGGCCTTTCTTCCCTCCTCTATTTTTTCCAGTTATTCCTATTAACTCCTTCTTGAAATTCTTATGTTCTCAAGGAACAAGTTTTGTCTCTTAGGCTAATAGTAGCAGCAGCAAACACTTACTATATGTGACATATATTGTGTTAAACACTTTGCTAAGCTTTTTTTTTTTTTTCCTTTGAATCTCTACAGCAATCTCATGCCCATGAGATAAGAATTGTCTCTTATTACCTTTTCACTATTGAATCTGAGGTTTTGAGACATTAACTAAATTGCCTAAGTAAAATACTTAATGAAATGCTCAAATGAAATTCAAACCTAGGTTATAGAATCCCAGAGTTTACTCTGTTAACTTCTATGCTGCACTGGCTAATACACATCTGATCGCACTAATAGGCATTGCTGAGTTGATATATCCAAAATGACACTTTTGGTTTGTTTATTACACCTAAACTAGTCACTCATCTCAACAAATGACATGTCCATCCAGCAAGTTACTAAAGTTGAACAGTCCAATTCTCGAAGTCCTCTTGGTTTTATCTCTAATGTAATTTGAATCCATTTACTTTTTTCCTCCCGACTGATGTCAACCTGATCTATTCTGCTTTTCTTCGGCTTGAATTAATAAAAGAGCTGCCTAAGAGGTCTCCCTTCTTGCACTCTTGTGCCCCTCTTCCCGTTCTCCACTTCTTAGTGTTGTTTTCTTTAAATACGTATCATATTATATCACTGTCCTGCTTCAGCTCCTTCAACCCCACCCTCTCCTGTTTGCACTTGGCCTAAAATCAAAGTCCTTACCATGGCCAGTAAGCCTGTCTGCCTGTGTCTAACTTCATTTACTCTTACTTCTTGATCTGTGCTCTTGCTCGCTGTTCATCCATCTGTCTCCTTCCATGGACCTTTGTCCTTAATGACTTCTAATCTATAATAGCCTTCACTCTGTCTCTTTGCATGGCTATTTCCTTTTCCTTTAGGCCTTGGTTTAGATCAGAAAAGTTATTCCTAGCCCATCCTAGCTCTGGATAGGTCTATAATACTCCAGTATTTTCTCAAAATTTCTTCCTTTTTTAGAGTGTAGTAACCATTGTTGTATTTATCTAATCGTTAAAGATTATTCCCTTCATTAAAGTGTGAGTTATGTAGAGGATACAGGATTTTGTTTTTTCTTGTATTTATTGGAGTAGCATAGTGTCCAGTTCTATGCAAATTCTTAAAAAAATAATACTGTTTTTTAATCGATGAATTTCTGTCTTATTTTGTACAAATATCACATTCCACCACACTATTGCATTATCCTCTAAATTGACCTCCAGTCTCTGCCAGATTAGTCTTTATAAGACAGTGTGGGGTTTTTTTTTGTTTGTTTTTTAATAATGTTAGTCCTGTGCTCAAAGATGCATGCTAGTTCTTCATTTCTTAATGCATCAAATCTCAAAACAATTTCTGTATAGCTTCTAAACAACTTTGTCTCATTACTCCTTTCAGTAGTTAGCTTAGGTCTCTGTGTCCCCACACATAAGCAATACGCACTAACAATTTCTCCAATGCTAATAGTCCTCCCCTGTAGTGTGAGAACCCCTCCATCTTCATTATTTTTCACCTATGCATTTCATGAATGTGAACTGCCAGCTGTAGAAGGGCATTGTGCTTTCTTAATCTAGATGCTAACAAGATGACTTTGGTAAGTTAGTTAGCCTCTTTTAGCCTGTTTATTCATCTATAGAAGTAGAATACTGTTGACTATTTCAGAGGAACTTTGTGAAATTTTCATGCAATAATATTATCTCATTATAACATTAGGCATCTGTTGAGCACTAAACTTTGTGGGGCATGAGTGCTCAATAAGTGCTATGCCTCTTGCTCATTATTTAAGACCCAGCCCCAGTCCTTGTACCTCCAGAAATCTTTCAGCCTTTTCTCAGGATTTTGCCTACTGAGGTTTTAGATCCTTGTATGGGAGAATGAAAGTATTCTCCTGGAGTGTTAACAAAAACCTTCCCAGGCTGATCCTTGAGTTTGAACTGCAGGTCTTAAGTGAGAAGCAGCACTCAGTTTAGTGGAAAAATTAAACTGGATCCAAAAGATTTAGGGGTTAAGCCTTGTTGGGCTCCTGACTTTCTGACTCTAGAACAAGCAGAAACCATGGTCAAGTTTATCTAAAAATGAATGTATTAAGGTATATAGATTATAATGTATTTTTCAGCCCTAGTAAATACTCAGTAAACATAATGATCAGAAAATAACGACACAAAAATACAATGTGTCATCATGGTTTCTCTGGGTCTTTTTCTTAGCCATCTGAATAGTCTTCTAGTCTTAATTATAGAGTTGATACATGTTGTCAACTGTGTGTAAGGTGGGGTGGTGGTTTGTGATGGTTTTACATGCTTTTAAGAACCAAGGTCTATTGTCTCTTCCTACAGGAGCTGCTGTGTTTTTAACCATGTGTGAAAACTTAGAAATCTATCTATTCTATCTTTGCTTTAGGATCCAAACCAAGCTGATGAAGAAGCAATGACACAGATTATCCGAGTGTCCTAACCTCAGGCCATCCAGTGGAGCTGATCAAAGTCATGTTTTCCACTGTTCCGGAAATTGATCAACTCTTGCAAGGGGACACTGATGATCACACTCTGCCCTTTTCTACAGGACAGAAACCACTTAGTTTTTAATAAGTGGCTCAGTATTATAATTGCAGTCTGGCAAATTGAAGTTGCAAGCCTTTGTCTCATCCTTTCAGTCAGGACCTACTTCGGACTGTGATGATTCTGATATTTTGTGGATTAGGATGATACAAGGAGACACTTGCCAGCCCAGCAGTACACAAGCACTTACGTTGACTGGAGAGGCCAGCCAGCCATCTCAGCAGGGGAGAGCATCCTTCTCAACCTGAATTCAGTCAGGGACCAAAGCCCATTCCTTCCCATGGATTCTAGACAGTGTTCATCCTCTAATGGAGATCTCAGGCCGACTGGCTGAATAGACACTTTGTATTCAGAGATGGCTTCCAGGCAAGGAAGTTTAAACAATAAATTCTCTGAGATACGGTCATTTTATTCGTGGTAATAATAAGAATCTCTGTCTGCCTAGATGCTAGATTGACAATTTTGAACTCTGGGGATAAAATGATAAAAGATCACAAGTACCTAAACATACATTGCTGAATCTTTTTTAGCTCTGACAAGTGGTCTGCTTGTCCTTCTATTGATAGATCATCTGGACTATAGTTCTTGCTATGGTTACTTTTAAGACAATTTTGAAGGTATCTTACCTCGTGACCGCCTTTCCTCCTAGAGAACACTTCTGTGCTGAAGTGCTAAGGACATTTGTAATAATTCCTAAACAGAGGCAAACTAGAGATTTTTCAATCACAGGCTTTGTGCCAGCATTTGGGGAATGGAAGGATTTATGTGTTCAGAGAGAGTAGTCTCATATCCATGTGTTGTCACAAAACGTAATTCTCCAGTGGATGGGTCCCTGGGATAGAATGTTAAACTGAAGAGAGACTTAATTCATATTTACACTAAGACGTTTTAATAAGCACTGAAAGGGAGAAGTCTGAGATTTGGTCCTTGACAGTTTCTGAAAAGCACTGTTCAATCACGCTATCCTGGAGATAGTCCAGGTTACCCCTGGAGCTTGATGTGGATGCTGGCTTCACTCCTGCAGCACTCTATGCTGGCCCCAGAGAGCAAGCATTCTCATTCTTCTCATGGCAGCTGATTCTGTGGTGCCACTTTTCATTTGTTTTTTCCTTTCTCTGTAGACCTTGTGCACCAAGATTTTCACATTGTATCCATATTATATAGAATAAACTACAGACTGAAAGTAGAGATGCCTACAGGGTCAGGAACTGGGCCATAGTTCCCAGGATGGCTTGGGCCCCAGAAATCTATTTTCTAGGCAAGCATTCTACCATTGAGCCACACCTTCAGCCCAGAAATGTATTTTCTAGATGTTCCTCCCTGGGAGAGCCAGGATGATGTTTCAGAAGAGTTGGCTGCCTTCTCTGTAAACAAAGAAGGAAAACCCAATCATTCTGAAAACTATTTGGGGTTCATTTAAATACCAACAGTAAAGATTGTCTTTTCTTTAACTTCATTCTAATAATATCAAGACAAAAGAAATTTAATCCTCTAAAGAATACATCATGAAGGGAAAACCAATATAATGGTAGAAGTAGCAATATGGAGCTATGCAAAGAAAATGGGAGGTGAAATGTCTTCCTAGTCCAAGGAATCTAGTAATTTTCCCCTGGCTTTCAGATGTCAGAGGGAGGCTGATCCATTGATAAGCTCACTAGAAACTTCTGGCTCTTTACATGAGTTTTCAGATATTACTAAAATGAGGAATTTTTATCTCTTTAGGAGCTAAAGGTGGAAAGGTGAGAAAGAAATTCCTCAGATCTAATGTTTAGTGTTTAAGCCAGCAACAGTTCTAAAAGCTATTTATTTGTGTCTATAAGTTTGTACATAGTAACACCAATCTCATATTGTTTGCTGAATATTTCATTTTTGGACGGCAAGTTTGAGTTTTGTTTTGTTTGAAATGAAATGCTTCAGTCATTCGTTCATTTTGCCACTGCATTTCGGATAGCTTATGACCCTTTTATTGTGGTCATTTTAGCACACCAGAATAGCCCACAAAGGGGGGGGCTAAGAGAAGCTGACCTTTGGATTTCTTTCTTTACTACTAGTTGTTTTACTCATTTGTCCTTGTGACTAGTGGTGACTTCAAAGCAGAGTGAGTGGATAAATGAATAATTGACTTAATGCAGTAATGTTACTTCTTGAGTGCTTTTCTTTTTTGCAGGATAATTGTAAGTGTATATATTTTAATTGCACTGGTACATGTCAGTGTCTATACCACTGGACCAACAGCCTTTTCTGGCTACAGGGTGCCTGATAATAATGTCTTGATTTTCCTTTGGGACTCAACCGTATAGGTTTCTCCCCCCACAGTAGGGGAGTGCAGGTGATTGATCATTGATGTCATTGCGATTGTTATTTTTTAAAATAAAGTTATAAAAATACTAAAAAGTGACTTTGACTTTTGAAGAGTCTCCATCCCTGGGTTCTAGGTGGTTTATAATGTTGAAATTGTGACCTCTATGGGCAGATGTGATCTCGCGGTATTCCTGCCTCTTAGTTTCATCATCCCCTAATCTTTTCTCCCTCCCTTTTGCATTTTCCACTCAGCTAAGGATTGTATGTTCCTGTGGGCTGATCATATGTGTGGTCATTAAAATATGAAGTATTTCCATGAATAGAATTATCATCCGTTATCACCAAAATACCCACGTTAGGTGTTAAGATGTACTTTCAGATTTTTATTTCCACGGAAAGCCAAAGCAAACCTTTATTGCTGCTGAGGGATTTTTTTTTTTGGTGTGGTACTGTTGTTTGAAGGCTTGATAAGCAGGTGCTCTACCTCAACTCTCCAGGAACCTGAGCCACAAAGACTAGCATCCGCCATTATCATGCAAGCTTGGAACCAGGAGCTAGAGAAAACCAATGCTGGGCGCTCTCTTAAAATGAGATGCAACAGACTTATTATGGCAGATAACAAAGAAGCACCCTAACAAGGAAAAGGCCTGTTAATAGCTAAATCTCTCTTTCAAGAAAAAAAAATTATAGTTTCCTTTAGTCAGATTTATGTCAATAGAACGTGTCCTTGCTAAATTCAGAGGTGCCCTATGCTGCTACTCTGATGATATGAGTAAAACCTACTGGTATTTATGCCAGATGATTTGCCTTATCCTAAAAGCGTCTCCACGCCCCCCTACCCCGCCGTTTCCAGGACCTCTGCTTCTTTGAAAGCACCGCCTGTCCTCTACACCCGGAAGTTGGCAAGAGCGGCAGGAAGCGAGGGGCGGAGCTCCGAGGAAGCCCGCGCTCGGATTGGCTGAAAGGAAGGTCCGCCGCCGAAGCGGATTGGCTCCTATTTGGGAGGAGCGAGTCGCCCCAATGGCGACGGGCGAGCGAAAAGCTTCGCTGCCTTGTTGGCCCGTGGAGGCTCGGTTGGCGGCGCTGCTTCCCGACCTGCTGGTATTCAGGAAGCCCCAGGTGCCGGAACCCGAACTCGCTGCGGCCCAGGACGTCCTTCTAGGTGTCCACGTGACGGGTGAGGGCGAAGGGAGGTGCTGAGTCTCCCAGCTGCCCGAGGGCTGCCGTTAGCTCCAGCCACGGGAGGCCTCGGTCCTTACAAACCTGGCCTGCTGGTCACCTAAGGCGCGCCTTAACCGCGCCGCCGCACCTGCAAAAACCTCTAGGTCCTTGGTTTTCTTTTTTTAATTTTTATTGTTTTATTATTCATATGTGCATACAAGGCTTGGGTCATTTCTCCCCCCTGCCCCACCCCCTCCCTTACCACCCACTCCGCCCCCTCCCTCTCCCCCCCACCCCCTCAATACCCAGCAGAAACTATTTTGCCCTTATCTCTAATTTTGTTGTAGAGAGAGTATAAGCAATAATAGGAAGGAACAAGGGGTTTTGCTGGTTGAGATAAGGATAGCTATACAGGGCATTGACTCACATTGATTTCCTGTGCGTGGGTGTTACCTTCTAGGTTAATTCTTTTTGATCTAACCTTTTCTCTAGTTCCTGGTCCCCTTTTCCTATTGGCCTCAGTTGCTTTAAGGTATCTGCTTTAGTTTCTCTGCGTTGAGGGCAACAAATGCTAGCTAGTTTTTTAGGTGTCTTACCTATCCTCACCCCTCCCTTGTGTGCTCTCGCTTTTATCATGTGCTCAAAGTCCAATCCCATTGTTGTGTTTGCCCTTGATCTAATGTCCCCATATGAGGGAGAACATACGATTTTTGGTCTTTTGGGCCAGGCTAACCTCACTCAGAATGATGTTCTCCAATTCCATCCATTTACCAGCGAATGATAACATTTTGTTCTTCATGGCTGCATAAAATTCCATTGTGTATAGATACCACATTTTCTTAATCCATTCGTCAGTGCTGGGGCATCTTGGCTGTTTCCATAACTTGGCTATTGTGAATAGTGCTACAATAAACATGGGTGTGCAGGTGCCTCTGGAGTAACCTGTGTCACAGTCTTTTGGGTATATCCCCAAGAGTGGTATTGCTGGATCAAATGGTAGATCGATGTCTAGCTTTTTAAGTAGCCTCCAAATTTTTTTCCAGAGTGGTTGTGCTAGTTTACATTCCCACCAACAGTGTAAGAGGGTTCCTTTTTCCCCCGCATCCTCGCCAACACTGTTGTTGGTGGTGTTGCTGATGATGGCTATTCTAACAGGGGTGAGGTGGAATCTTAGTGTGGTTTTAATTTGCATTTCCTTTATTGCTAGAGATAGGTCCTTGGTTTTCATCACCTTTGGGGATGACCAGGTTTAGCACTTGGACTCACTTGCGAGGTGACAAAATTAATACAAAGGGAAAAGGAATGTGCAGAGCCATGCAACAGGCTTTGAACCCGCTTTCCCCCAAACCCAAGAATTTTGCAAGAAGCGTTTTGCTTCGTCCAGTTATTTTGTTAGTTCTTTGGGTTAATTTTTGTTAATTCTTTGGGTTCCTAAGTATGTGTCTGCCATTGCTCTAGATGCTACCGATCTAGCAGCCACTAGATTTATGGAATTAAGCTGGGTGTGGTGCCTCGTGTCTGTAATCCCAACTGATAGGGAGAGAGAGCATGAGGATCACCACCAGGCATGGTGATCCCAGCTACATGAGTGGTATAGGGAGGAGAATTGCAAGTCCAAAGCCAGGCAGGGCAAGACCCTATCTGAAAAGTCACTAAAACAAAAGGTCTGGGAGTGTGGCTCAAGTAGTACTTCCTAGCAAAGAGCCAGTACCACCGAACGTGTATATATATATATATATATAGAGAGAGAGAGAGAGAGAGAGAGAGAGAGTGAGTTTATTCTGTGTCATGGATATGAATATAGGTGATGTGAGGTGCCTCTCCTTACCACATGAGTTCCCCCATTAAGCTTTAATCCATTCCCCTTTTCACTGTTTTCTGTTTCCCTCACATGGGTGAATGATAGTTTCCTTTAGCCACAGAGCCTGAGAGGACAGGGAGAAAGAGGAAGCTGGCTTCAAAGAAATATGGTGCTTGTAGGTCCCTCTACACATCTGCAGCCCCTGGAAATAGAGAGGGTGGCTCTCTGGATTCCCACGGGTAGCAAACAGCCTGGTCCTGAGGGCTTTCTAAGTAGCACCATATTAATGGATCAAGGGGTTACTCAGCTTGATGGGATCTGATTCCTTTAGACTAACCTGTGGGGAGCAGAGTGCCTAAAAGTTTAACCTTTGCAGCTAACAGTAACCTTGCTTTGTTGGTCAGGGTTTACAGCATTAGTGGACAGGTTCAGCCTGACCTGCAAGTCAGAACATGACATGGACAAACTGGCCCACATCTTCAGTTATTACATTAGCGACATCGTGGAGCGTGAGTGATCTTTCCAGGGGAGCAAGGAGGTGTGGTGAGGGTTTATTTGTAAGAAGGGAGCCTGGAATCCTTTAAAATAGATCCTAAAGGATCATTCCTTTAGTGTCACTCATTTTTGGTTTATCAGGTCACTATTTCATTCTCTGCCACTGCCATTCTACCCAGTCTTCAATACTATTGACCTAATGTTCAGAAAAGGGAAAACTAATTTTAATTTTCACTTTTTTATTTCAAAATAAAGTATTCTGCATGTTGTGTCTTTTAACAATAAATGTGCCTCCCATGTATATATCAAATATCGTTCACAAAACACCTTTCCATATTACTGCATATTGGTCATCTGAGGGAAGGAATAGGTTTAATCCATATATTCTTACATGTATTAAGCTTTTGGATTTTTGCCTAATCTAGGAAAAATCTCATTTGTGCACTAAACATTCCGTGTACCTACTCTGACATGCGCTGTAGTAGGCTCACAGGAGACAACTCTTGAGCTTTTTAGTTAAGTGTACACAACAGAAATTACTCTGGCCCTATGCCTTTTAGTACTTACCCAACATTCTCATCCTTTCCTGATGGTTGAAGTTCACCAGAATCATTACTTTGTAGCATCTCCTTTAGCAACTTGATTATTCTGCTCACCCATAAGGAACAAGTATAAAAGGTCTTCCATTTTCTCTCATCAGGTTTGGGTAAAGGTGAAGACTAAGAATTGTATTGTGTGTGTATCATAACATAAGGAACTGCTAGGTGCTAGAAATGCAGAGAGAAGTAAGACATAGTACCTGCCATCAAGGTAACTATAGGATGGAAGAATTTCTCTATGTGTCATGGTGGGCATAGAAAACTCCTCTGAGGAGGTAGCGGTTAGGCTGAGACATGAGTCACCAGAGAAACACTGTGAAGAGCTTGAGGTAAAATATTTCAGGCAGAACAAGGACAATGGTTCTGAGACAGAAGAATCTTAGCTTGTCCTAGTAACTGACAGAAGTCAATTGAGGCCCAATCATAGCTAGCATGGTGAAGGGTGACTTAAGGTGCTGTTGAAGGAAGGGAG